TAGTGGAGTTCATCTATAAAGGTTTCACAAGCCGATAGTGGAGTTTATCTATAAAGGTTTCACAAGCCGATAGTGTAGTTCATCTATAAAGGTTTCACAAGCCGATTGTGTAGTTCATCTATAAAGGTTTCACAAGCCGATAGTGTAGTTCATCTTTAAAGGTTTCACAAGCCGATAGTGTAGTTCATCTATAAAGGTTTCACAAGCCGATAGTGTAGTTCATCTATAAAGGTTTCACAAGCCGATAGTGTAGTTCATCTATAAAGGTTTCACAAGCCGATAGTGTAGTTCATCTATAAAGGTTTCACAAGCCGATAGTGTAGTTCATCTACAAAGGTTTCACAAGGCCGTTAGTGTAGTTCACCTATAAAGTTGAAAATGTAAACATTTCGAAAACACGTTCGCCGCCCACCCATTTTGAACGGCCGATTTAATTAAACTGTGACGTCAAAAGAATTAATTAGACCCATCAGTCAATGAACTCGCGAGGTTATTGTGAAGAGAGCTTGCTGCTGGTGCACTAAAACCGTTTTAGGGAGGTCATTGAACTATGTTCTGTAGTCTACATAGCCCCCGCGATGCGAGGGCGGGGGGGGGGGGGGGGGGGGGCGTTGTCAAAAGATGAACGATCAAGTTAGTAATAGACAGTAGATGTTTTCATGACTGACTTGCTACATTTAACATTTTCTAAAACAAAGCTGTATGTTTTTTTATGTAGTTCCATATTTTGTTTTTTTAGCTAACATAAATAAAACTTTCCTCATTCATGGGTGGGTCTAGTTTTGTTATATAACGTTATGTGTAGTAGTAGATCCAAGTTTTGTTATATAACGTTATGTGTAGTAGGTCCAAGTTTTGTTATATAACGTTATGTGTAGTGGGTGGGTCCAAGTTTTGTTATATAACGTTATGTGTAGTGGGTCCAAGTTTTGTTATATAACGTTATGTGTAGTGGGTCCAAGATTTGTTATATAACGTTATGTGTAGTAGTAGGTCCAAGTTTTGTTATAGAACGTTATGTGTAGTAGGTCCAAGTTTTGTTATATAACGTTATGTGTAGTGGGTCCAAGTTTTGTTATATAACGTTATGTGTAGTAGTAGGTCCAAGTTTTGTTATATAACGTTATGTGTAGTAGTAGGTCCAAGTTTTGTTATATAACGTTATGTGTAGTAGGTCCAAGTTTTGTTATATAACGTTATGTGTAGTAGTAGGTCCAAGTTTTGTTATATAACGTTATGTGTAGTAGTAGGTCCAAGTTTTGTTATATAACGTTATGTGTAGTAGTAGGTCCAAGTTTTGTTATATAACGTTATGTGTAGTAGGTCCAAGTTTTGTTATATAACGTTATGTGTAGTAGTAGGTCCAAGTTTTGTTATATAACGTTATGTTAGTAGTGGGTCCACGTTTTGTTATATAACGTTATGTGTAGTAGTAGGTCCAAGTTTTGTTATATAACGTTATGTGTAGTAGGTCCAAGTTTTGTTATATAACGTTATGTGTAGTGGGTGGGTCCAAGTTTTGTTATATAACGTTATGTGTAGTAGGTCCAAGTTTTGTTATATAACGTTATGTGTAGTAGGTCCAAGTTTTGTTATATAACGTTATATGTAGTAGTAGGTCCAAGTTTTGTTATATAATGTTATGTGTAGTAGGTCCAAGTTTTGTTATATAACGTTATGTGTAGTAGGTCAAAGTTTTGTTATATAACGTTATATGTAGTGAGTGGGTCCAAGTTTTGTTATATAACGTTATGTGTAGTGGGTTGGTCCAAGTTTTTTATTTAACGTTATATGTAGTGGGTCCAAGTTTTGTTATATAACGTTATGTGTAGTAGGTCCAAGTTTTGTTATATAACGTTATGTGTAGTAGTAGGTCCAAGTTTTGGTATATAACGTTATGTGTAGTGGGTTGGTCCAAGTTTTGTTATATAACGCGATGTGTAGTGGGTGCGTCCAAGTTTTGTTATGTAACGTTATGTGTAGTAGTTCCAAGTTTTGTTATATAACGTTATGTGTAGTAGTAGGTCCAAGTTTTGTTATATAACGTTATGTGTAGTAGGTCCAAGTTTTGTTATATATATAGTTATGTGTAGTAGTAGGTCCAAGTTTTGTTATATAACGTTATGTGTAGTAGTAGGTCCAAGTTTTGTTATATAACGTTATGTGTAGTAGTAGGTCCAAGTTTTGTTATATAACGTTATGTAGTAGTAGGTCCAAGTTTTGTTATATAACGTTATGTGTAGTAGGTCCAAGTTTTGTTATATAACGTTATGTGTAGTAGTGGGTCCAAGTTTTGTTATATAACGTTATGTGTAGTTGTAGGTCCAAGTTTTGTTATATAACGTTATGTGTAGTAGGTCCAAGTTTTCTTATATAACGTTATGTGTAGTGGATCCAAGTTTTGTTATATAACGTTATGTGTAGTAGGTCCAAGTTTTGTTATATAATGTTATGTGTAGTGGGTGGGTCCAAGTTTTGTTATATAACGTTATGTGTAGTAGCAGGTCCAAGTTTTGTTATATAACGTTATGTGTAGTGGCTCCAAGTTTTGTTATATAACGTTATGTGTAGTAGGTCCAAGTTTTGTTATATAACGTTATGTGTAGTGGGTGGGTCCAAGTTTTGTTATATAACGTTATGTGTAGTAGGTCCAAGTTCTGTTATATAACGTTATGTGTAGTAGTAGGTCCAAGTTTTGTTATATAACGTTATGTGTAGTGGGTCCAAGTTTTGTTATATAACGTTATGTGTAGTAGGTCCAAGTTTTGTTATATAACGTTATGTGTAGTGGGTGGGTCCAAGTTTTGTTATATAACGTTATGTGTAGTAGGTCCAAGTTCTGTTATATAACGTTATGTGTAGTAGTAGGTCCAAGTTTTGTTATATAACGTTATGTGTAGTGGGTCCAAGTTTTGTTATATAACGTTATGTGTAGTAGTTCCAAGTTTTGTTATATAACGTTATGTGTAGTAGTAGGTCCAAGTTTTGTTATATAACGTTATGTGTAGTAGGTCCAAGTTTTGTTATATATATAGTTATGTGTAGTAGTAGGTCCAAGTTTTGTTATATAACGTTATGTGTAGTAGTAGGTCCAAGTTTTGTTATATAACGTTATGTGTAGTAGTAGGTCCAAGTTTTGTTATATAACGTTATGTAGTAGTAGGTCCAAGTTTTGTTATATAACGTTATGTGTAGTAGGTCCAAGTTTTGTTATATAACGTTATGTGTAGTGGGTGGGTCCAAGTTTTGTTATATAACGTTATGTGTAGTTGTAGGTCCAAGTTTTGTTATATAACGTTATGTGTAGTAGGTCCAAGTTTTCTTATATAACGTTATGTGTAGTAGGTCCAAGTTTTGTTATATAACGTTATGTGTAGTGGGTGGGTCCAAGTTCTGTTATATAACGTTATGTGTAGTAGTAGGTCCAAGTTTTGTTATATAACGTTATGTGTAGTGGGTCCAAGTTTTGTTATATAACGTTATGTGTAGTAGGTCCAAGTTCTGTTATATAACGTTATGTGTAGTAGTAGGTCGAAGTTTTGTTATATAACGTTATGTGTAGTTGTAGGTCCAAGTTTTATTATATAACGTTATGTGTAGTGGGTTGGTCCAAGTTTTGTTATATAAAGTTATGTGTATTTGTAGGTCAAAGTTTTGTTATATAACGTTATATTTAGTAGTAGGTCCAAGTTTTGTTATATAACGTTATGTGTAGTGGGTTGGTCCAAGTGTTGTTATATAACGTTATGTGTAGTGGGTGGGTCCAAGTTTTGTTATATAACGTTATGTGTAGTAGTAGGTCCAAGTTTTGTTATATAACGTTATGTGTAGTGGGTGGGTCCAAGTTTTGTTATATAACGTTATGTGTAGTAGTAGGTCCAAAATTTGTTATATAGCGTTATGTGTAGTAGTAGGTCCAAGTTTTGTTATATAACGTTAAGTGTAGTGGGTCCAAGTTTTGTTATATAACGTTATGTGTAGTGGGTCCAAGTTTTGTTATATAACGTTATGTGTAGTAGTGGGTAGGTCCAAATTGTGTTATATAATGTTATAACGACAGAGGAAATGTAAAGATCACAAAATGTTGGTGGAGAAACGTATTTAATGATAGCATGGAATATATATTACTACATGAGGTATAAATATTAAGATCTATAATACATTGAGATTTTAGGTTACATGATCTATGATACACTCAAGTAGTAGGTCACGTGATGTGTCAAACATTCATTGTAGGTCACGTGATCTATAAAAGATTTAGGTTGTAGGTCACGTGATCTATAAAAGATTTAGGTTGTAGGTCACGTGATCTATCAAAGTCGGGTGATCTGAACACAACACACACGTTCGTAAGTTGCTGATAAGGAAGTCACAAAATAAAATTCGAGTCACTGTCGATTGAGATATGTCTCTTGTATGCATTATGTATAATGTCACTTGTATGTATTATGTATAATGTCACTTGTATGCATTATGTATAATGTCACTTGTATGTATTATGTATAATGTCACTTGTATGCATTATGTATAATGTCACTTGTATGTATGATGTGTACTGTCACTTATATGCAGTGGCGTAGCGAGGTAGGGTGTCACCCGGTGCGGCACTTAATGGTGTCACCCCCCAGAGGCGTAGCGACCCTTCCCGGGGACAAACTTTCAAATTTTCGATTTGCAACCCCCCCCCCCCCCTCAAACTTTCGATTTGCACCCCCCTCCTCAAGTTTTTCTCTATATATTTTGCTATTTTTTTGCCTTGGTGTCACCCACCTGAATGGTGTCACCCGGTGCGGTCCGCACCCCCTGCCTCCCCCCTCGCTACGCCTCTGCTTGTATGTATTCTGTATAACGTTACTTGAATATATGATGTGTATTGTCACTAGTATGCATTATGCACACAAGTTATACATTCAACAGGAGAACTTGAGACATTTTAAAAAAACCCTCCCGGGGGGGGGGGGCTGTGACACGCATGTATGCTCGTCCCCCCCCCCCCCCCCCCCCCAGGGAGAGGTTTTTTAAAATCCATGTTCACAATTCCAAATTGTCCTGCCGATGATGTGTACAGTTGTGCACACGTTTCTAAGATAACAGACTCATTTTTTACATTGTAGCTTACTCCACAAGAACCGAGCGAAATGTCAGTCCAAGCATGCACTATTGTAACGAAATCAAACACATGCACCTGATCTGGAAAAGTATTTGCTTTTTTACGCGCGTCTTTCCGACTCACAATCGTCTGTAAACTCTAATGCTTCTAAAATTTGTTTCCGTGATTTCAAACTGCGTTTTTCTCACAAGCAACTCCCCTTGAGAAAATGTTTTTTTTTAAAATCTTGTTTCCAAAATCACGCCCCTCCCATCCTGGTACCTGAGAGGTTTTTTTAGACCCTTGTTTCCAAAACATGCTTTAAAAATTGTCCGCGGGTTCGTCGAAACTGAAAAAGATGTAAAAAGCTGAAAGGTAGCAAAACAGGTATAAAAACCTTAGTGATCAAAAGCTTTTTTAGATAAGAAAAAAAAAAAAAAAGAAAACAGACAGATCCACATTTATTTTGGTTAGAAAAGTAAAACTAAAAGTGTGGTCACAAAAAATTATTTTCTGCACATTTTGCAACCAGCACTTTAATTTTTTTTTTTAAATTTAATAAATAATGAAATTATGTTAATGTTCTTATGTTTCGCTAATGTAAAAGCTTTTCATAATAAAGGATTGAATACTAATTGAATACTAATTTTATTGACCACTTTTTAGTATTAGAATATTATTAATATATATAGAAATAAGTCGATATGTAAGTTTTAAAACAGTTCAACATTTTATTTCCAAAATGATCTATTGACTAAAAACATTGTATACCGACTTCATGCAGCGAATAATATTTTATACCAATCACACTACGTGAGTATCACGTGAGTATCACGTGGGTATCACGTGGGTATCACGTGAGTATCACGTGGGTATCACGTGAGTATCACGTGAGCATCACATGCCCAGTTACAGATTTAAACCCTAACATGTGTAAACATTCGATGTCCACACTAGCTGCCTGAGTGACGTCAACACCAGCTGACCTGCGTGACGTCAACACCAGCTGACCTGAGTGACGTCAACACCAGCTGACCTGCGTGACGTCAACACCAGCTGACCTGAGTGACGTCAATACCAGCTGACCTGAGTGACGTCAATACCAGCTGACTGACGTCAACACCAGCTGACCTGAGTGACGTCAATACCAGCTGACTGACGTCAACACCAGCTGACCTGAGTGAGGTCAACACCAGCTGACCTGAGTGAGGTCAACACCAGCTGACCTGAGTGACGTCAATACCAGCTGACCTGAGTGACGTCAATACCAGCTGACCTGAGTGACGTCAATACCAGCTGACCTGAGTGACGTCAACACCAGCTGACCTGCGTGACGTCAACACCAGCTGACCTGAGTGACGTCAATACCAGCTGACCTGAGTGACGTCAATACCAGCTGACTGACGTCAACACCAGCTGACCTGAGTGACGTCAACACCAGCTGACCGAGTGACGTCAACACCAGCTGACCTGAGTGACGTCAATACCAGCTGACCTGAGTGACGTCAACACCAGCTGACCTGCGTGACGTCAACACCAGCTGACCTGAGTGACGTCAATACCAGCTGACCTGAGTGACGTCAATACCAGCTGACTGACGTCAACACCAGCTGACCTGAGTGAGGTCAACACCAGCTGACCTGAGTGACGTCAATACCAGCTGACCTGAGTGACGTCAATACCAGCTGACTGACGTCAACACTAGCTGACCTGAGTGACGTCAACACCAGCTGACCTGAGTGACGTCAACACCAGCTGACCTGAGTGACGTCAACACCAGCTGACCTGAGTGACGTCAATACCAGCTGACCTGACTGACGTCAACACCAGCTGACTGACGTCAACACCAGCTGACCGAGTGACGTCAACACCAGCTGACCTGAGTGACGTCAACACCATACACATCTTTAAACTAACGTTTAGCAAATAATTTTACATAAAAATTAGAATGAAATAAGATATTCTTGCGTTGTAATTAAAAATACACTTAGATGAAAAAAAATCGCTGTATTCGAATGTATCAAAGTGAGATTAAAAGATCTGATCACAAACCCACAAACAAACACACAAACATAGAAACGGAATTAAAAGCTTGACTATCCCATTATCGCATCTTACCAATCAATACCTAAAAATTCCATTATGCATTGCACCATCCCATATTTTCCTCTGCCATTGCATCATCCCATATTTTCATCTGACATTGCACCATCACATAATTATTATTTTTTGTACCATCCCATACTTGCATCTTACCCATCGATATCCTATAATCCCATAATTCATTGTACCATCCTATACTTTTATCATACACCCTGCCTTTCAGAAGTTCCACCCTACGCCCTACATTGCACCATCTCATAATTTATCATTCACTCCATCAACATATATCAATTATTCATTGCACCATATATATACTATACATACACTACGCCATCCCATAATTCCAATGTACACTGCGTCATCCCATAATTCAACATTACAATGCGCCATCCCATAATTTCAATATACACGGCGCCATCCCATAATTCCACATTACACTGCGCCATCCCATAATTCCACATTACACTGCGCCATTCCATAATTCCACATTACACTGCGTCATCCCATAATTCCACATTACGATGCGCCATCCCATAATTCCACTATACACTGCGCCATCCCATAATTCCATTATACATTGCGCCATCCCATAAATCCACTATACACTCCGCCATCTCATAATTCCACTATACATTGCGCCATCCCATAATTCCACTATACACTCCGCCATCCCATAATTCCACTATACATTGCGCCATCCCATAATTCCACTATACACTGCGCTATCCCATAATTCCACTATACACTGCGCTATCCCATAATTCCACTATACATTGCGCCATCCCATAATTCCACTATACACTGCGCTATCCCATAATTCCACTATACACTGCGCTATCCCATAATTCCACGTTCACTACAGCATCAAGCTGTCCAATGATTACCGGAACAAAGAAGTGGAGTTGACAAACAAAGCCTCGTCTGTTCGCTGGTTTCTGCAGTTGAAGTGCTGAGTCATATTGTTGCGGTCAACGTGCGCGCCGTTCATTGGGTTCTTTGGATCACGTGGTACGACCCTGACCCCATCACGTGACGACAGAGACGGGTCCTCGCTGAAGTAGTTGAACGGGACGAGGAAGAAGGAGAGCGCCGTGCCCGTGGTTGAGGTGTGGGGGACGTTCTCCGTCTGGGGCAGGTGGTAGGCGCCCAGGGTCACCCACGCCACCAGATCCTGTGGAAACAGATGGACATTGGTCAGATACAGATGGTCAGATACAGATGGACATTGGTCAGATATAGATGGACATTGGTCAGATACAGATGGACATAGGTCAGATACAGATGGACATTGGTCAGATACAGATGGACATTGGTCAGATACAGATGGACATTGGTCAGATACAGATGGTCAGATACAGATGGACATTGGTCAGATACAGATGGACATTGGTCAGATACAGATGGACATTGGTCAGATACAGATGGTCAGATACAGATGGACATTGGTCAGATACAGATGGACATTGGTCAGATACAGATGGACATTGGTCAGATACAGATGGTCAGATACAGATGGACATTGGTCAGATATAGATGGACATTGGTCAGATACAGATGGACATAGGTCAGATACAGATGGACATTGGTCAGATACAGATGGACATTGTTCAGATACAGATGGTCAGATACAGATGGACATTGGTCAGATACAGATGGACATTGGTCAGATACAGATGGACATTGGTCAGATACAGATGGACATTGGTCAGATACAGATGGACAGATACAGATGGACATTGGTCAGATACAGATGGACATTGGTCAGATACAGATGGACATTGGTCAGATACAGATGGACATAGGTCAGATACAGATGGACAGATACAGATGGACATTGGTCAGATACAGATGGACATTGGTCAGATACAGATGGACATTGGTCAGATACAGATGGTCATTGGTCAGATACAGATGGACATTGGTCAGATACAGATGGACAGATACAGATGGACATTGGTCAGATACAGATGGACATTGTTCAGATACAGATGGACATTGGTCAGATAGAGATGGACATTGGTCAGATACAGATGGACAGATACAGATGGACATTGGTCAGATAGAGATGGACATTGTTCAGATACAGATGGACATTGGTCAGATACAGATGGACATTGGTCAGATAGAGATGGACATTGTTCAGATACAGATGGTAAGATACAGATTGACATTGGTCAGATACAGATGGACATTGGTCAGATACAGATGGTCAGATACAGATGGTCATTGGTCAGATACAGATGGACATTGTTCAGATACAGATGGTCAGATACAGATGGTCAGATACAGATGGACATTGGTCAGATACAGATGGACATTGGTCAGATACAGATGGACATTGGTCAGATACAGATGGTCAGATACAGATGGACATTGGTCAGATATAAATGGACAATGATCGTAGACAGATTTGCCTTTATGCTAATAGGACCATATGTTGATAGAGGTTTCATCGGTGATATGTCTGAATATTGATATGTTAATAGATGTCTGTTAATTTGTATGTTCCAACAAATAAGTAAATATATCTATCCCCTTCCGACACGACCTCAGAATGTTGTAGTTGTCCTGACATGGTATATAACATTTCATTTCCGTCGGTCAAGTATTATACAAACTATACCATGTGTACACAAATGTACATCGTGTCGCAATAGAGTAAAATGTCAGATTAACCTTATTTATATCATGCAATTCTGGAATGATATATGGGCCTACTTAGTATTAGAATGAAGCTTTTTAGTTGAAGAATATTTACAATATGTAAGCTATCTAGAAAACAATTAAATAATTGTTTTAATGTTCAATTTTTTTCACGGAATTGAGGTTAGCTGTTTGTTGTACTCTAATTTAAAATTGTAAAGCAATAATAAAACGAAACTTTGTGCTGAAACTAGAAAAGATGCGATGGAGTACAAAGAATGCAAAACAATATTAAAATTCGTTTGTTTAATTAGAATTTTTTTTTGTAAATATCTTGGGTACAAATTCGACCACCGTATCGGAAGAGGTTTCATATATATATATATATATATATATATATATATATATATATATATATATATATATATATATATATATATATATATATATATATATATATATATGACTGTGTTGATATGCTTGTATTGATATGCCTGTATATTGATTTATTCGTAGGTTGTTTAGTCCATGGCAGTGGTTCTTACCTTTTTGAAGGTATTGAACCCCACACGTGCTCAACCACTGATCCCTTCTTAATAGATCTATCGTCCGCACTGACACAAATCGATCGTAAATCACATGAGTAGAGTGTGTGTCTTGACTTCCGCCTTAACCCATCAGACTGACTCCCTGAACCCAGATTAAGAACCACTGCTTTATGGTAATAGAGCCCTTAAGGGATATAACATATGTCTGTATGGATTTCAATATATCTTTTATTGCTGTCTGATACAGATGTCTGTGTATTTATGCTTTGTTATCCTAACGCTGGGTCAGCGTGACCCGCCAAATAGAACAAACCCGACCGTAGTAATAACATGAGGTCAACCTGACCTAGGCATTAACTGCCGTCTATTGTAGTATTGATCATTTAGCTTTTGTTTAAAGCATCTTTAAGACAAGGGCGATACAACGCCTGCTGTACTGCGTTAATGTGTGGCTTATGTCTAGAGTCTAGAGCCTTGAGCGAGTGTTTACATAACTATATGTGTGTATGTCTAGAGCCTTGAGCGAGTGTTTACAAAACTATATGTGTGTATGTCTAGAGCCTTGAGCTAATAGCAAGTGTTTACATAACTATATGTGTGTATGTCTAGAGCCTTGAGCGAGTGTTTACATAACTATATGTGTGTATGTCTAGAGCCTTGAGCTAATAGCAAGTGTTTACATAACTATATGTGTGTATGTCTAGAGCCTTGAGCGAGTGTTTACATAACTATATGTGTGTATGTCTAGAGCCTTGAGCTAATAGCGAGTGTTTACATAACTATATGTGTGTATGTCTAGAGCCTTGAGCGAGTGTTTACATAACTATATGTGTGTATGTCTTGAGCTAATAGCGAGTGTTTACATAACTATATGTGTGTATGTCTAGAGCCTTGAGCTAATAGCAAGTGTTTACAAAACTATATGTGTGTATGTCTTGAGCTAATAGCGAGTGTTTACATAACTATATGTGTGTATGTCTAGAGCCTTGAGCGAGTGTTTACATAACTATATGTGTGTATGTCTAGAGCCTTGAGCTAATAGCGAATGTTTACATAACTATATGTGTGTGTGTCTAGAGCCTTGAGCGAGTGTTTACATAACTATATATGTGTATGTCTAGAGCCTTGAGCTAATAGCGAGTGTTTACATAACTATATGTGTGTATGTCTAAAGCCTTGAGCGAGTGTTTACATAACTATATATGTGTATGTCTAGAGCCTTGAGCTAATAGCGAGTGTTTACATAACTATATGTGTGTATGTCTAAAGCCTTGAGCTAATAGCGAGTGTTTACATAACTATATGTGTGTATGTCTAGAGCCTTGAGCTAATAGCGAGTGTTTACAAAACTATAGGTGTGTATGTCTAAAGCCTTGAGCTAATAGCAAGTGTTTACATAACTATATGTGTGCAGGTCTAGAGCCTTGAGCTAATAGCGAGTGTTTACATAACTATATGTGTGTATGTCTAGAGCCTTGAGCGAGTGTTTACATAACTATATGTGTGTATGTCTAGAGCCTTGAGCTAATAGCGAGTGTTTACATAACTATATGTGTGTATGTCTAGAGCCTTGAGCGAGTGTTTACATAACTATATGTGTGTGTGTCTAGAGCCTTGAGCAAGTGTTTACATAACTATATGTGTGTATGTCTAGAGCCTTGAGCAAGTGTTTACATAACTATATATGTGTATGTCTAGAGCCTTGAGCGAGTGTTTACATATTTATATGTGTGTATGTCTAGAGCCTTGAGCTAATAGCAAGTGTTTACATAACTATATGTGTGTATGTCTAGAGCCTTGAGCGAGTGTTTACAAAACTATATGTGTGTGTGTCTAGAGCCTTGAGCGAGTGTTTACATAACTATATATGTGTATGTCTAGAGCCTTGAGCTCATAGCAAGTGTTTACATAACTATATGTGTATGTCTAAAGCCTTGAGCTAATAGCGAGTGTTTACATAACTATATGTGTGTATGTCTAGAGCCTTGAGCTAATAGCGAGTGTTTACAAAACTATATGTGTGTATGTCTAAAGCCTTGAGCTAATAGCGAATGTTTACATAACTATATGTGTGTATGTCTAGAGCCTTGAGCGAGTGTTTACATAACTATATGTGTGTATGTCTAAAGCCTTGAGCTAATAGCGAATGTTTACATAACTATATGTGTGTATGTCTAGAGCCTTGAGCGAGTGTTTACAAAACTATATGTGTGTATGTCTAGAGCCTTGAGCGAGTGTTTACATAACTATATGTGTGTATGTCTAGAGCCTTGAGCTAATAGCAAGTGTTTACAAAACTATATGTGTGTATGTCTAGAGCCTTCAGCGAGTGTTTACATAACTATATGTGTGCAGGTCTAGAGCCTTGAGCTAATAGCAAGTGTTTACATAACTATATGTGTGTATGTCTAGAGCCTTGAGCGAGTGTTTACATAACTATATGTGTGTATGTCTAGAGCCTTGAGCTAATAGCGAGTGTTTACATAACTATATGTGTGTATGTCTAGAGCCTTGAGCGAGTGTTTACATAACTATATGTGTGTATGTCTAGAGCCTTGAGCAAGTGTTTACATAACTATATGTGTGTATGTCTAGAGCCTTGAGCGAGTGTTTACATAACTATATGTGTGTATGTCTAGAGCCTTGAGCTAATAGCAAGTGTTTACATAACTATATGTGTGTATGTCTAGAGCCTTGAGCGAGTGTTTACAAAACTATATGTGTGTATGTCTAAAGCCTTGAGCTAATAGCGAGTGTTTACATATTTATATGTGTGTATGTCTAGAGCCTCGAGCGAGCGTTTACAAATCTGTGTGCATGTCTAGAGTAAAGACGGCTGGGCATAGTGATGACCACACCAACCCTACTTCATCTCCCCTCGTTTAGTCGTTCTTTACTTATAAAACTACATGTGTCGCTTGACTGCGTGACTGCGTGTTATTTTAATTTAATTCAACCATGGCAATATAAACATAATAAAACAGGAAGTCATTATATATATATATATATCAGTAGCGTAGCGAGGGGGGGGGGGGGGGGCGGGGGGGGGACATACGTCCCCGGGCGCCGACCTTAGGGGGGGCGCCAAATTGAAAGTTTGAGGGGGGGGGGTGCAAATGAAAAGTTCGAGGGGGGGGTGCAAATCGAAAGTTTGAGGGGGGGGGGGGGTGCAAATCGAAAGTTTGAGGGGGGTTGCAAATGAAAAGTTCGAGGGGGGGGGGGTGCAAATCGAAAATTTGCTCCCAAGGGGGCGCCAAATTGAAAGTATGTCCCCGGGCGCCGGGAAGGGTCGCTACGCCTCTGATATATATATATATATATATATAATGAGAACGTTTCTATAATAGGAATGTATATAAAGTTTTTAATTTCAAAATAACTAATTGACAAAACGAAGAGAACAAATGAGAAGCAGAAATGTAACATTAATCTTTTTAAACCCAAACATCTCACTGCGGTTTATCTCGGCACTTATTCAGCACAACACGCGCATGCGTGGAGCTAAGGAAATAATCTTCAAGACGAGCAGGCGTGGAACTAGAGAGCGCTTATCTGAAGGGTCTGGTTATCGTCTGTTTTTGAACTTTCACCTGAGTTTAAGGTCGGGATTCTGGGATACGAAGGGGTCACGTGATTCAGGTTATTTGTATGCCAGGCTGCATTGGATATAAAGAGCTATAAATAGATCCGAGTAGATGATTGGTGATGCAACCCCACAAGCTATTTACACGTAATCTAGTACTTAATTGTGACGTCACGGCCTGTGGAGGCGAGTATCTATGACGTCACTGGTAGTGGGGGGGGGGGGGAAGAAGGGGGGGGGGGGGACAATTTGGACTTAATTTGGTCACCTATCCCAAAAACCCTTAGCGTCTCTACTCATTATTTTTGGTCGCATTAATCTCGTTCTTAATTTAATAAATGTTACTTTTCTATTATAGCTTTAAAAACATTTATTTCATCTCTTTGTGTTTGTAATCATTTTTATAGTTTTGTACTTTTTCTTCTTAAATGATACATCAAGCAGCGATTAGATAGGAAATTCACATATGTCTACTGTATGAGATAGATAGTTCATCATATGTGTCTACTGTATGAGATAGAAAGTTCATCATATGTGTCTACTGTATGAGATAGAAAGTTCATATGTGTCTACTGTATGAAATAGATAGTTCATATGTGTCTACTGTATGAGATAGATAGTTCATATGTGTCTACTGTATGAGATAAAAGTTCATATGTGTCTACTGTATGAGATAGATAGTTCATATGTGTCTACTGTATGAGATAGATAGTTCATATGTGTCTACTGTATGAGATAGATAGTTCATATGTGTCTACTGTATGAGATAGAAAGTTCATATGTGTCTACTGTATGAGATAGATAGTTCATATGTGTCTACTGTATGAGATAGAAAGTTCATATGTGTCTACTGTATGAGATAGATAGTTCATATGTGTCTACTGTATGAGATAGAAAGTTCATATGTGTCTACTGTATGAGATAGATAGTTCATATGTGTCTACTGTATGAGATAGAAAGTTCATATGTGTCTACTGTATGAGATAGATAGTTCATATGTGTCTACTGTATGAGATAGATAGTTCATATGTGTCTACTGTATGAGATAGAAAGTTCATATGTGTCTACTGTATGAGATAGATAGTTCATATGTGTCTACTGTATGAGATAGAAAGTTCATATGTGTCTACTGTATGAGATAAAAGTTCATATGTGTCTACTGTATGAGATAGATAGTTCATATGTGTCTACTGTATGAGATAGATAGTTCATATGTGTCTACTGTATGAGATAGAAAGTTCATATGTGTCTACTGTATGAGATAGAAAGTTCATATGTGTCTACTGTATGAGATAGAAAGTTCATATGTGTCTACTGTATGAGATAGAAAGTTCATATGTGTCTACTATATGAGATAGAAAGTTCATATGTGTCTACTGTATGAGATAGAAAGTTCATATGTGTCTACTGTATGAGATAGAAAGTTCATATGTGTCTACTGTATGAGATAGATAGTTCATATGTGTCTACTGTATGAGATAGAAAGTTCATATGTGTCTACTGTATGAGATAAAAGTTCATATGTGTCTACTGTATGAGATAGATAGTTCATATGTGTCTACTGTATGAGATAGAAAGTTCATATGTGTCTACTGTATGAGATAGAAAGTTCATATGTGTCTACTGTATGAGATAGATAGTTCATCATATGTGTCTAGTGTTGACATAGAAGTGTAGAGGGCCACAGATGGCTACCTACATAAGGTTCACTAAGTTCATCTTATAAAGACCTACGCTCGTAGCATTTAGAAGAAGGTTTTAAAACTATTTTCTATGTTTACTAGGATTAGCACTTAGGTGAGCACACATCACGTGACTGACTGACCAAGCACACATCACGTGACTGACTGACCTAGCACACATCACGTGACTGACTGACCTAGCACACATCACGTGACTGACTGACCTAGCACACATCACGTGACTGACTGACCTAGCACACATCACGTGACTGACTGACCTCATCAACGATGCTCTCGTCGTCCTGCCAGAAGTCCCTGAAGTTGACCACAGGGTCGCTGGCGTCCCACATGGCGAAGATGGAGCTGCTGGCCATCTCGTGGTCCTTGTGTCGCGTCACGGCCATCTGGTGCTGGGCCCAGCTGACTGACCGCTCGAACCCCACCCCCTCCGGCAGCAGGGTCTTGGTCAGCCCCTTGTGGATGAGCCTGTAGCCCGGGGAGTTGCCGAGGGCTGAGTCTTGGTTCTTGTAGAAGACCAGGTACTTGGGGTGGTTGAAGTTGTGTGAGTACAGAGCTTCCCGCTCCGTCCGCTTCTCTTGTCTGGTGAGCACGTTCTGCGTGTGAGCCGAGTTGTTGGACCATTGTTTGTGTTTGAGCTCAGTGCCAATGTCAATGGTGCGGTACCTGTTGGCGGTCCCTTTCACGTCCACGTCCGCTTTAAAGTGAAACAGGTGATGATGCAGTCCGGCTACCACCGTCCGGCTTATCCGTGTGCCGTACGGCTCTTCTTCAGGGAAGTAAAAGCTGGTTGTCAGGTAACCGGTAGCCAAGACCTTGACCTCTATGGCGCCGTTGTTGTGAAAGATGTAGTCGAAGACGTAGTCGTAGTTGATGATGCAGATGACCATCCTGACGATGAGGACCTGGTCGACCAGTCCGTTGTAGAAGGCGCCGGTCATCCCATAGGCTCTGTGTCGGCGTAGGGGCGTGTCCGTGCTGTGCTCAAAGATACACAGCGAGTTCTGTAGGCGCGCCATCCCGCGGTCGTTGGAGCTGTAGACTAGGGCGTCGAGCATGGTGGCGTAGTCGGGGCAGTCCACCCCCGGCATCAGGCCGCGCATGCGCGCACCAAACAAGGCGGCGCTGTCAGCGAAGTACAAAACACTGGAGGCTGGGGAGTGTCCGGAATAAAGAACAGCAACTTCCTGCAGGCTCAGCTCATACACGATTCTCTCCCCCTTGTAGCGGACGTCCAGCAGCTGCGCCCCCTGGGTCGGGGAGATGCGGACATTGAACCCCCAGTCCATGTACTGGACTCTACTGCCGCTGATGCTGTGTCGTGGGCCGGACGGTTGGACTTGCTGGGGCGGCGGCTTCAAGTCCCGGGGCACGGGCTCCCCCCTCAGCTTGACCGCGCCGTACTCCCTCTCCCCGGGCGCAGGAAAACTGATCCTGGTTTTGTTGATGACTCCCGAGTTGTACTTGAGCATGAGCTCTTCCAGGCTGTCGAAGAACTGGTTGGCGTAGAAGATCTTCTGTACCTGCCACAGTGCCGGGTCCACATCCGTCATGTCCACCAGAAACTGAAAGTCCAGGGGGTGCAGCGTGTAGAACTCGATGTCGTAGGCGAACCACACCCAAGACTTGCGCCTCCCGGGTTCCAGAAAAGCACTGGTCACCGGCATGATGAGGAACTTGAGGCACTGCTGCCCGCAGTTGGAGAGGCTGGCCTCGTAGCTCTCTCGCAGAAGTCTGTCTGTAATGCTGCCCACTCGCGGCAGACACGTTTTTACAAAGGCTTTAAGCTCTATGGAGGAATACGGCCGGTTCGTGTAGGGGATGCTCGTCTTCCGACCCTCGGAATTCATCAGCGATAGTTGAGTCGGGTTAGGCAGAGGCCCTACTAAATATTCCTCCACTACTTTCTCGGCCGCCGCCCCCTTGAATATAAACACTCGCGCCATTCTGGTAGGTTTTGGGCCGCTCCCTGCCAGGTAAGCTAAAACTGCTTTCTTGGGCGGCAGCAGCATCTCCATCAGATGGATGTAGTTGCTGGTGATTTGAGCCGAGCCGAAAGCAGTCAGGTTCAAATGACGTTGGTTAAACAGGAAGTGGACAATGCTGGTGACCTCCTGTTGGCTCAGCTCTGAGAACAGGCTGTCGTTAGATCTGTACAGCTCCAGGCTATCCACGGGGTCAAGGCCGGGGCAAAGGTCGTCTCCGGCCTTAACCGGACCGTCTTCACGTGAGACGAAAACGGCGACCAGTGAGGCGGCCAGGAAGATGACCAGCAGGAACTCAAGGATGGACACAAGTTTCCAGGACACGCGGGCTGGCTGGTGACTGGACAACCTGAGGACAGATGAAAGGAGGTAGTCAATGTCAAGAATCGGCTTGGGACAAAGCTGGAAACCACAGTGGCCGACCTCCATACCGACATACCCAACCAACACACCTACAACATCACCAACAACACCTACAATAACACCTACAACAACATCACCAACAACACCTACAATAACACCTACAACAACTTCAACAACACCTACAACAACACCTACAACAACACCACCAACAACACCTACAACAACACCTACAACAACACCACCACCAACACCTACAACAACACCTACAACAACACCACCAACAACACCTACAACAACACCACCAACAACACCTACAACAACACCTACAACAACACCACCACCAACACCTACAACAACACCTACAACAACACCACCAACAACACCTACAACATCACCACCAACAACACCTACAACAACACCACCAACAACACCTACAACAACACCTACAACAACACCTACAACAACACCACCAACAACACCTACACCAACACCAATAAGAAAATGACCCAACAACGCACAATAAACAACCCCCCCCCCCCCACCTAACCGGATAATACCGACATCATACAACGCCAGCAAAAACATCCTTTAAAAAGATGTTTTTATGATGTCACATGGACGCCTATATTTAGAATATTTTTTTTTATCTAACTGTATCTCTTAAGACTGACAGAAACTGTAAACAATGATTGCATCACCGTGAGGAACGCACGTGGGATGATTGAGACAGTCGATAATTCTGTGTTGACAGCTTGCTGCGTTCTGATTGGTTGAGACGAACACACCCCCACCTGATGACGAAACTTAGATCAACCAGGGCTCAACCCCGACCCGCAGTAGCGTGGGGGTGGGGGAGGAGGGCAATGAACTGATAACCTTTAGAAGTGCACTGCTCACTATAGCTGATACACACGCTAAAAAACTGACATTTGAAGGTTTGAAAAAAAACGTAAAATACTTGTCAAGTTGCATGGATTTTTTCCAAACCGTATGAAACAAGTATGGTATATACTATACACAATCATACATAACACAATTCACATACAGGGGTGGGTGTCTCATTTTTTTTTCTATTCCATTAAGAGAAAAGGCGTGGAAGGATTGTGAACGTGTTCTTGGCTTGGACTGCCCCCCCCCCCCCCTCGGAGACTTGCCCGAAAGAAAAATTATTGACCATTTAGCTGTGGTTTTATTTGATGTTTTTCTTTGGGTCATTCATAAACAGCCAACAACCCCAGCACCCCCCCCCCCCCCCCACATAAAACTACAGATTTTGTTCTTAAACATCGATTACTTTCGAAAATATCTACTGAGCTTGACCAACATTACGTTTACTAAGCCATTTCTATTACAATTTACAAAAAACATTTTTTTTTAAATTAAAAATTGCGAAATAATAGCTAAACGTTAGTTTCTAACATTTCTTTTTCAAAAAGTGTATCTTATCAATATGTTATCAATTTCCGAACACTCTCCTCCCTCCCCCTTCTCCCCCCCCCCCCTTTCTAAGAATGTGAGATCGTTTGTGGACGACCTATTTTACATGTTCTCGTTTTTTTTTCAAATCTTAGAATGGTTGGGTGAATAAAATGAGATGAATGGGTTAGTTGAGTTTAAAAACACAAGATAAGGTTTTACAACTTCTTCAAACTTGACCCCATGACTTGTAGCGCTGAATGGTGTTGTGGCGGGGGGGAGGGGGAGGAGGGGGAGGGGGCGTTTGGGGAGGCAAGATGTAGGCTTTGTATGTATTTTGGGGAGTCTATGAAAATGTGATACTAAATTATATGGGGGCAGGGCTAAATATGTCACATATTTTTGTTACATAAGTTATGCCCATTTCCTAAATAAATAAAGGTAAAAACGATGGTTGTAGTTGTTGAATTAAATCCCACGACAGCTGATGTGAGTGTATGTTTACTATATAAAATCCATCCCGAAGAGATGCCTGAAGGAAACTCTGTGGTCAACGTAAAGCCACGCTGACCAAAAACAAATGACCTAACATAGTACATTACGATGACCTACTTTGTCACAATCTTCAACTAATGACAAATACGTTATGATATATGACATTCGACTAAGACTTTACAAGTTAGTACATTACGACGACTAACTTAATTCGTCACAACCTTTATCCAATGACAAAAACGTTATGATTGATGACCTTCGTCTAAGACCTAATATGTAGCAAACTTGAACCAATAGAAAATATGTTACGATATACAACCTTCGTCTAAGACCTAATATGTAACAAACTTGAACCAATAGAAAATATGTTACGATATACAACCTTCTTCTAAGACCTAATATGTAACAAACTTGAACCAATAGAAAATATGTTACGATATACGACCTTCGTCTAAGACCTAATATGTAACAAACGTGAACCAATAGAAAATGTTACGATATATGACCTTCGACTAAGACCTAACAGCTCTACTGACCTTTTGGAGTAATAAATGTTGCAGACTGGTTCCAGAGATTCGCTGTCCGTGGAGGCGTTGGACTGAGTTGATACCGTCATGCTGCAGGACTGCCGTCTGCTTGACCACTGGTCAGTCAGAATGTGGCTCACGTTCAGCTAGTGCACGTCCCGTTGTGTGCCCAAGTTTCACATGTAAACAACGCCAGCGCCCTCGACTCGCCAACTACGCTGTTTGCCTACAGCGAAAGGCAAAACATTTCGTCACCCTTTTAATCCCCTTTCATTCAGTACTAACGATATGGCTAAATCTCGCGATGGGCGGGGCGGGGGTTCAGCTAGCCAATCAGATGGGAGCTCGCGTGGGGCATACCACGTGACCTGTTTCATCACTACGCCAGCTCGTACTCTATGTTGTTATTGCCGGCACCCCACAAGAAAAAACAAACGATTTTATTTTTTCTTCAATCACAACGGAATTGTTTACACACATAAGCCTGTCTTAATTCCTGGCCTTAGTAAATAAAAACTTTCTTGGTTCAAAGTTTTAAGGTTATTTATCTGACGTCATTTGGTGTTAAATATAACTTGTCTGTCACGTGGTGAGTGGTCAGTCGATCACGTGGGCGGTCATTCTATCACGCACGTGGGTGGTCTACCACGTGGGTGGTCAGTCTAACACGTGTGTGGTCAGTCTGTCACGTGGGTGGTCAGTCTACCACGTGGGTGGTCAGTCTATCACGTGAATGTTTATCAAATGGATGTCCTAAAGATATGTATGTCAGTTATTATGACCTATAGATATGTATGTCAGTTATTATGACTTAGAGATATGTATGTCAGTTATTATTACCTATAGATATGTATGTAAGTTATTATGACCTATAGATATGTATGTCAGTTATTATGACCTATAGATATGTATGTCAGTTATTATGACTTAGAGATATGTATGTCAGTTATTATTACCTATAGATATGTATGTAAGTTATTATGACCTATAGATATGTATGTCAGTTATTATGACTTAGAGATATGTATGTCAGTTATTATGACCTATAGATATGTATGTCAGTTATTATGACCTATAGATATGTAAGTCAGTTATTATGACTTAGAGATATGTATGTCAGTTATTATGACCTATAGATATGTATGTCAGTTATTATGACCTATAGATATGTATGTCAGTTATTATGACTTAGAGATATGTATGTCAGTTATTATTACCTATAGATATGTATGTAAGTTATTATGACCTATAGATATGTATGTCAGTTATTATGACTTAGAGATATGTCTGTCAGTTATTATGACCTTTAGATATGTATGTCAGTTATTATGACTTAGAGATATGTTTGTCAGTTATTATGACTTAGAGATATGTATGTCAGTTATTATGACCTATAGATATGTATATCAGTTATTATGACCTATAGATATGTATGTCAGTTATTATGACCTATAGATATGTATGTCAGTTATTATGACCTACAGATATGTATGTCAGTTATTATTACCTATAGATATGTATGTCAGTTATTATGACTTAGAGATATGTATGTCAGTTATTATGACCTATAGATATGTATGTAAGTTATTATGACCTATAGATATGTATGTCAGTTATTATGACTTAGAGATATGTCTGTCAGTTATTATGACCTTTAGATATGTATGTCAGTTATTATGACTTATAGATATGTATGTCAGTTATTATGACTTATAGATATGTATGTCAGTTATTATGACTTAGAGATATGTCTGTCAGTTATTATGACCTATAGATATGTATGTCAGTTATTATGACTTAGAGATATGTCTGTCAGTTATTATGACCTTTAGATATGTCTGTCAGTTATTATGACCTATAGATATGTATGTCAGTTATTATGACTTAGAGATATGTATTGGCTATGTCTGTTCTCAATTCAGCCTACGAATTTGTTAATTTATTTTTTGAATGTTAATGCATTATGTATGTGGTATATTTATGCATGTATGCAGCTTTATCAAGCTTTTGGGTTTTAGGTATGGATATGACGAAAAAACCCTAATCCAAGGGACATAACTGATGTGGATACGTTCTGGTAAGCACAGAGACACAGGCTATGTCAGGTATACCAACATACAACGGTCAGGATTAGTAGCTGTGAGATACCAACGGTCTACCATATGTTACCCTATGATACAGTGGCTGAACATCAACACAAGGATTAGTTGTTTTAAGTTGCGTAATGCTTAGATTGGGATCAGCTACAGAGGCGGATTATTGAATTATCGGATAAAACTTTCTTCCGGGTTGCTAATGACGTCCATTCGGGTCTAGCTGAGTGCAGATCTTAAACAGAAATATTCAGCCAGCCAATGTATTCAGCCAGCCAATGTATTCAGCCAGCCAATGTATTCAGCCAGCCAATGTATTCAGCCAGCCAATGTATTCAGCCAGCCAATGTATTCAGCCAGCCAATGTATTCAGCCAGCCAATGTATTCAGCCAGCCAATGTATTCAGCCAGCCAATGTATTCAGCCAGCCAATGTATTCAGCCAGCCAATGTATTCAGCCAGCCAATGTATTCAGCCAGCCAATGTATTCAGCCAGCCAATGTATTCAGCCAGCCAATGTATTCAGCAAGCCAATGTATTCAGCCAGCCAATGTATTCAGCCAGCCAATGTATTCAGCCAGCCAATGTATTCAGCCAGCCAATGTATTCAGCCAGCCAATGTATTCAGCCAGCCAATGTATTCAGCCAGCCAATGTATTCAGCCAGCCAATGTATTCAGCCAGCCAATGTATTCAGCCAGCCAATGTATTCAGCCAGCCAATGTATTTAGCCAGCCAATGTATTCAGCCAGCCAATGTATTCAGCCAGCCAATGTATTCAGCCAGCCAATGTATTCAGCCAGCCAATGTATTCAGCCAGCCAATGTATTCAGCCAGCCAATGTATTCAGTCAGCCAATGTATTCAGTCAGCCAATGTATTCAGCCAGCCAATGTTTTCAGCCAGCCAATGTATTCAGCCAGCCAATGTATTCAGCCAGCCAATGTATTCAGCCAGCTAATGTATTCAGCCAGCCAATGTATTCAGCCAGCCAAGGTATTCAGCCAGCCAAGGTATTCAGCCAGCCAATGTATTCAGCCAGCCAATGTATTCAGCCAGCCAATGTATTCAGCCAGCCAATGTATTCAGCCAGCCAATGTATTCAGCCAGCCAATGTATTCAGCCAGCCAATGTATTCAGCCAGCCAATGTATTCAGCCAGCCAATGTATTCAGCCAGCCAATGTATTCAGCCAGCCAATGTATTCAGCCAGCCAATGTATTCAGCCAGCCAATGTATTCAGCCAGCACAATCTCAGCACAATCTTTCTTACCTCTTCAACTACCATCTCAACTACCATCTCAACTACTATCCCGGCACAATCTATTTTACCATCCCTCCTACCATCTCATCTACAAATATCCTACCATCTAATCTACCATCCAACCTACCATCCAACCCACCATCCAACCTACCATCCAACCTACCATCCAACCCACCATCCAACCTACCATCCAACCTACCATCGAACCTACCATCCAACCTACCATCTAACCTACCATCCAACCTACCATCTAACCTACCATCCAACCTACCATCTAACCTACCATCCAACCTACCATCCAACCCACCATCCAACCTACCATCCAACCTACCATCTAACCTACCATCTAACCTACCATCTAACCTACCATCCAACCTACCATCTAACCTACAATCTAACCTACCATCCAACCTACCATCTAACCCACCATGTAATCTACCATCTAACCCACCATCTAACCCACCATCCAACTACCATCCAACCTACCATCCAACCTACCATCCAACCTACCATCCAACCTACCATCCAACCTACCATCCAACCTACCATCTAACCTACCATCCTTTCTACAATCTCACCTGACGTCAAGTGTAGCTTTTAAAGCTAATAATATTGATCAGAAAAAAATCGATACAACGTTTAAAAAAAAAATCCAAAAATATTTCGAACTTATATCGTAGTATATAGACATTAATCGTTCTCCAAGTAGTCTATAGACTTTACAAACATTAGTCGTCCTCTGGTTAGGCTATAAACTATCTACAAACATGAATCGTTCTCAGGTTAGGCTATACACTACCTACAAACATTAATCGTTCTCCGGTTAGGCTATAAACTACCTACAAGCATGAATCGTTCTCCTAGCACTACCTGTTAAAGTTACATTATTGAATGGCGTGGTCGAATGGAAGATCTTACGACTGTCAACCCGAAAGTATTGAGTTCGGATCACGGGTTCGCTACTGTAGTACGTTACTGAGTCCACCCGACTCTAATGGGTACCTTGTCACATTATCCCTTTGAGGTAACTGAAACAGATAACTCTACTTCATCTGCTCCACGTGTCTTGGGCACGAAGGGGAAAAGAGGTTACATTTAGCCATCTTACATAGCCCGTTGAGTTCAATCGTAATTTGTAACGTCATCTCTGTTGGATAAAGCCGACCGTCAGTCTTGTGGAAACTACTCACTCTACTGCTACAGATTCAATCAAATAAATGGCCCCGTAGTCAGATAGACGATTGGATGATGGTGCATTGGGGGGGGGGGGGGATAAGTTGAGAAGCGCCAGATGTTGCCCATGTATCTTACCTATGGTCATTCTAAAGGACACCACTCCTGCTTGATTTATTACAATTATATCCTAGACGTGGGTTACTGTCCTTGGCTAACGAACCTCGTCTACCTGGGGTTTGATCTCAGGACTTTCAAACATGGGGCTGTGGCTTTACCCGTCCGTCCAAGCCCTTCAGCAGATTATACTGGGGAGTCTAGCCTTGACAATAGGAATCTATTGCAGAAAGGAACGATACATGTTCCTACCCTTTTACCCAGAGCTGGGGGCGGGACATTATTACATCTAAATAGTTGTAAACTGATTGACAGTTTGTCTGTCAGAAGGATTCAACTTTAGACTGACACAGTTACTGAGTCCAGTATATCTTTATTAAGTGCAATTTATCCGGACTAGCAGACTTCTGAGTCAACTCAGCTGTAAAGTGTACCTGGCTTTAGTTATGTCTATGGGAAGTGGGTATGTGAATGATGGTCTATGGGGGAGAATGTGAGAGTCTATGTGAGAGTGTCTGCGTGTGAGGGTCTGTGTGAGAGAGTTTGTGGGAGAGTGTTTGTGGGAGAGGGTCTGTGAGAGAGACTGAGTGAGGGAGAGAGTGTGTGTAACGTAGATCTGCATTTCGCATGGTATGACTAAGACAGTACATTAAATTTCCTAAACTTGCTAGCCCCCCCCCCCCCCTCTAAACTTGCTAGCCCCCCCCCCTCCCTCTAAACTTGCTAGCCCCCCCTCTAAACTTGCAAGCCCCCCCCCCCCCTCTAAACTTGCTAGTCCCCTCTGGTAGAATTAAAAAAGCCAACTCTATCTGAAACGAATGACCTACATGCCAGTTGACCTCAATGACCTACATGCCAGTTGACCTCAATGACCTACATGCCAGTTGACCTCAATGACCTACATGCCAGTTGACCTCAATGACCTACACGCCAGTTGACCTCATAACTTGACTTGCCTGTCAATGACCTTGAAGATACGTGACCTCAAATTCCAATTTATCCTGGCTAACGTTTAGAGGAAACGGCTCCACAACAGCAGACGATAAGACGAAGGTCAAAAATCTGGAGCTGTGCAGACGTGACCCCAGGTGAGGGCGGGGAGGCTGGGGTGCGGTGGAATCTAGGTCAGGGTCAGATTACAGAGTTTATTGCCAGGGTGGAGGCGGCACAAACATACTAACTGACGTATGCTGACGTCACAGGAAGGATTGAGTGAGGTTGTTGGGCGTTTTCGTTCTGGCTCATCTTACATTAGGTCAAGGTCAAGTGGTCATACAATCATCAGGTCAACTGGGGTTATACAATCATTAGGTCAACTGAGGCTATACAATCATTAGGTCAACTGAGGCTATACAATCATTAGGTCAACTGATGCTGTACAATAATCAGGTCAACTGGGGTTATACAATCATTAGGTCAACTGAGGCTATACAATCATTAGGTCAACTGAGGCTGTACAATCATTAGGTCAACTGAGGCTGTACAATCATCAGGTCAACTGAGGTTATACAATCATTAGGTCAACTGAGGCTATACAATCATTAGGTCAACTGAGGCTGTACAATCATTAGGTCACTGAGGTTATACAATCATTAAGTCAACTGAGGCTGTACAATCATTAGGTCAACCGAGGCTGTACAATCATCAGGTCAACTGGGGTTATACAATCATTAGGTCAACTGAGGCTATACAATCATTAGGTCAACTGAGGCTGTACAATCATTAGGTCAACTGAGGCTATACAATCATTAGGTCAACTGAGGCTATACAAGCATTAGGTCAACTGAGGCTATACAATCATTAGGTCAACTGAGGCTATACAATCATCAGGTCAACTGGGGTTATACAATCATTAGGTCAACTGAGGCTATACAATCATTAGGTCAACTGAGGCTGTACAATCATTAGGTCACTGAGGTTATACAATCATTAAGTCAACTGAGGCTGTACAATCATTAGGTCAACCGAGGCTGTACAATCATCAGGTCAACTGGGGTTATACAATCATTAGGTCAACTGAGGCTATACAATCATTAGGTCAACTGAGGCTGTACAATCATTAGGTAACTGAGGCTGTACAATCATTAGGCCAACTGAGGTTATACAATCATCGAGTTAGTTTATACAATCATCAGGTCAACTGAGGCTGTACAATCATTAGGTCAACTGAGGCTGTACAATCATTAGGTCAAGTGAGGCTGTACAATCATTAGGTCAAGTGACGCTGTACAATCATTAGGTCAACTGAGGCTGTACAATCATTAGGTCAACTGAGGCTATACAATCATTTGGTCAACCGAGACTATACAATCATTAGTAAGGTAACAACATCCAAGGGTGAGGTATACTAATGTTAGTAAGAGACCGCTTTATCCATTCTTTGATTCCACTGTGGATTTAGATTAATTAATCCTACTGTGAGCTTAGACTAATTAATTCCACTGTGGGCTTAGACTAATTAATCCTACTGTGGGTTTAGACTACTTAATCCCACTGTGGATTTAGACTACTAAATCCTAATGTAGATTTAGACTACTTAATCCCACTGTGGATTTAGGTTTCTTAATCCCACTGTGGATTTAAACTACTTAATCCCACTGTCGATTTAGACTACTTATACCACAATTAAACTCTTCAACTTTGTTAAATTCATCAGGATCCAAAATATCCAAAATATCCAAGATAGTTTTAACAGCCTTTTTTCAGTGTGAGTTTTAAGGGACATAACCCAATGTAAATTTGATTTCAGTATTTTAGTAGTATTAAATCCCTTCATTAAAGCTTCGTTTAAAAAATTAGCATTTACAAACATTAAGTGAAATCAATGAAAACGTAACTAAACTACATCATATTGTTTTCTAAAATCTGAATTTGAGCAACAGCATAACAATTTGGAGATAACCAATTGTAAGATCTTCATGCTCTTGTTTTATCAGTAATTTCAAGTAACTACAAATGTTCCTAGTTTGATCCAAACAGCAACCTTAGCTTAAAGTTTAAAGATTCGATTTGTCAATGGTTATATGAGATGTGTATTCTATTTATAGAAGGAAAAGTATTTGTTATTTTACTATAATAGTTATGTTGCAAACATTTGCTGTAAAATAAATACAATGTAGTACACATTTGCTATAAACTAACAATAATGTTGAAATCAAACACAACTGTAGTTCACTGTTTATTCATACATGCCTAGTCACACAGTAAATTAGTTTTGAATTAAATGAACTCATTCATCTCAAGTCTCCATGTATATATATATATATATATATATATATATATATATATATATATATATATATATATATATATATATATATATATATATATATATATATATATATATATATATATACAAATATATATATATATATATATATACATATATATATATATATATATTTATTTATTTATATATTTATTTATATATATACATGTAGTATATGTTGTATAATCAGCAATTTCTCTCATAACTGAATACAGTAAAGGGCTATAAAAATATTTTTAGTTTTTCTCATAAAAGATCATCTCTGATTTTTTATGATTCTCTTGAACTATGACACAACAAAAGAATGACAAATTGCTCTAGTGTGAACTATAGACAACAAATTTAAACTCTGTTGACATTTAGTTGCATTAAAAAAATATCACCAATAGGATGTGTGGTCTACATATATATACACTTAGTGGGTGTACTTGAACTGTGGAGGGGGGGGGGGGTAATGAGGTGGTAATATGTGGAGGTAGTAATGATGGTAAGCTGGGGGTTATAAAGGGAGGGAGTATTGGGAGGACAGAGTGGGAGGTGGGAGGTGGGAGGGAATGGAAAGAGGTGGAGGGAGTGGGAAGAGGGGAGGGAGTGGGAAGAGGGGAGGGAGTGGGAAGAGGGGAGGGTGGGAAGAGGTGGAGAGAGTGGGAAGAGGGGAGGGAGTGGGAATAGGTGGAGGGAGTGGGAAGAGGGGGAGGGAGTGGGAAGAGGGGAGGTAGTGGGAAGAGGGAGAGGGGGGGTTGGATGACTTAATTATTTGACAAGAGTTTTGACTGGTTACTAAACTTTATTGTAACTGATGGGTCAGGCTCTCAGTTTGACCATGGCCCAGTAAAAAAAGCCAGAAATAAAACTCTATCACTTTTCATATGGGATGATAAAAAAGTGGATTAAAATATGGAATCTATCTGGCCAGCCAGATAATAAGCTTAGACAAGTAGAAGCATATAAGTATACAAAATATGGTTACACATAAGCAAAATATGGTTTCATACATACAAAATATGGTTACATACATACAAAATATGGTTACACATAAACAAAAAATGGTTTCATACATACAAAATATGGTTACATACATACAAAATATGGTTACATACATACAAAATATGGTTACATATACTTCACATATAGTTTGAAATACATCAGTATACATAAATATATTTGCTTATCTAGGTAAAAAAACTGACTATAATTTCTAAATTACCATATCATATTAAATTAAGTTTTCAAATTAAATAGATATTGTTATAGCTCAAATATTTGTTTCAAAATTAGTGATTCCTAGTGTTTAGTGAAAATGTGAATTGTGGTTTATCAAAATAGGACAGATTATTTAATTATAAAAAATGTAATACAATTTTTTTTCATAAAGACTGTTCAGCAAGTAGTTGCCAGATAAACTTAATAGTTTGTTGCTTGCCAAATTGGACAACATTAATTTCAAATTATTTCTTTCTGTAAACTATCCATTGTTTTCTTGTGTGACAAGCTTAAAGTAAGAAATAAATTCTAAAATATAACACCAAAGATCCTTAAATAAAAATACAACTTTAGCAAACTTTGCTAAACTTGAACTACTCCACAAATAAATGTGAAGTGAACAGAGTGTGATTTTACACAGTAAATACACATCAAACACTGATAACTGACATGTGAAAATATGTCATACATTTATCAGATCAAATCTGTTTAGTTTTACAGTGACTTAAATAAAAGGTCACGTCATGTCCATTTGGTAACAGCATTAATGACCATTGGTCAACAAAATAAAACATTAAACTTAGTTTAAAACTTTCAGATGATAAGGAAACATTCAATACAATTAGTTCAGCTAAAGAACATCCAAATATTTTTATTTCAAAGACACCCACCAAATCTAGCATTGATTAGAAATTAAACTTTCGAAGATACAAAAAAATGACTCATTATATCTAAAAAAATCTTTGGATACTACAAGTACCTGACAATGACACTTCTATAAATAGGCCTGTTTACTCCGAGTATTGTTACATCAGTAATGCTAGGGTCAGAAATTTGAGTTCTATGGTAGCACTCCTGGCAATAGAGCCAGACAAGCCCTGGACCCCCAGGTCACGTGATGCAGGGGGTCGACCCAGGGAGACATGGTAATGTTGTGTGCCAGTTGATGCTAAGAGGGTAGGAAGGAACTGGGAACAGCTGAAGGAGTGGCTATAGACTGTGGGGAGGGGAAAGCTTTGACAGAGGTCCTATGCTCCACAAGGAACAAAAAGAAAAAAAATGATGTTAGGAATTAAGTTTGAGGTTTGGGTATAGTATGCCTGGTATATACTCGAATTGTTTTTTCAAACGTCTTCCAAGATTTACAATGGTAAACTTTTCTCCATGCAATCACAGTTAGGGAAACTTTCTCTATATGAGTTACCTCACCTGCATTACCCGCAGTTTAAAATATCTTGAACTATCGTCAAAACTGAGATATGCATATAAAACTTGTAATAAATAATACACTTCCAAGTCATATGAATGTTTGTCTAACCTTAAGGAATGAGATCAAAGATTGTCACCGCCAGATTTCCGGCAGGAAATGAAGCCAATCTGGTTGCCAAATGGGATGTTGTCTCTACGGTGCGAGAAGAACTGTTTGTTGCAGACTGTACACAGGGCGCAGCTGGTGTCGATGTTGCCAGCCGGCACGCCGTCCAGCTGTAGCATCAGCACGTTGGCCTGCACAAGGTCGGCGTGCACCCAGTCAGGGTGCCGGGCTGACCCCCAGACCAGCCCTGGATCCAGGCGAGTGAGTGGTGCCGCATCACTGGCTGGAAGGTCAAAGCACTTGCCTTCAATAGTTGGACCAATGGCCGCGCGGATGTCTTGAGGGTCCGTCCCGAACTCCTCCACCATTGTCTGCAGACAGGCTCGAACCGCCCCCACTGTGGTACCTCTCCACCCTGCATGCACGGCACCGCAGGCACCTGAACGAACAGTTTACAAACTGATATTTGTTTACTGCACGTACCCTAACAAAGATGACACGTTAACTAACTTTGTTAGCACTTTATTTATACATAGGCACATGAACATACATGACGAATTTACAAACTTTGTAACACTGAATTTACTACATGATATTATGTCTGCTTGTAAAACTATCTGAATGTCATAATATAACAATGACTAAGTTAATATAAAATTTAACATTAAATTAATGACATTATGATGTGTCTGTAAAACAAGTCATTATTATAAAATTTAACATTAAATTAATAACATTATGTGTCTGTAAAGCAAGTCATTATTATAAAATGTAACATAAAAGTAAAGACATTATGATGTGTCTGTAAAACAAATCATTATTTAAAACAAGAGTTATTTCCCTTATGTTTTAACAAACAAAAATTATTTCCGTTAACAACATTTAAATATCAGCAGTTTTGTGTCAGCTAATAAAATCAGTGAACCATTTCTTTTGTTTTTGTGTGTAATAATATGAGTGATGTCATATTTACCTGTGTTTGTGTGTAATGAAATGAGTGATGTCATATTTACCTGTGTTTGAGTCAGCTAATAAAATGAGTGATGTCATATTTACCTGTGTTTGTGTGTAATGAAATGAGTGATGTCATATTTACCTGTGTTTGTGTCAGCTAATAAAATGAGTGATGTCATATTTACCTGTGTTTGTGTGTAATAAAATGAGTGATGTCATATTTACCTGTGTTTGTGTCAGCTAATAAAATGAGTGATGTCATATTTACCTGTGTTAGTGTGTAATAAAATGAGTGATGTCATATTTACCTGTAATGTGTGTAATAAATTATAAAATGAGTGATGTCATATTTACCTGTAATGTGTGTAATAAATTATAAAATGAGTGATGTCATATTTACCTCTTTTCGTGTGATAAAATGAGTGATGTCATATTTACCTGTTTTGGTGTCAGCCAATAAAATCATAGCACAGTCCGCCCCCGGAGCTGCTACTGTTACCCCAGGTATATTGGTGACCACACCGTCAAACTTTGGGGGTGGGGGTTTACCAACTACCCAAATATTTTTATCGTGTTCTACTTTGGCTACCCGTAGAGACGCGGGTTCGAACCCCGCGGCCTCCGCCAGGCGCCTTCTGTTCTCTTCTATGACCAACACAGGGTCAGGCTTGCGTATGGTGTAGAGCATGTTGAGGGAGGTCAAAGGTGACAGCTGGGACACGCCCCCAAACCTCTCGTGAAAACCTGTGGACAGAGTATCACCACCTGAGTACAGAGACATGTGGACAGGGTATCACCACCTGTCTACAGAAACCTGTGGACGGAGTATCACCACCTGTCTACAGAAACCTGTGGACAGGGTATCACCACCTGAGTACAGAAACCTGTGGACAGGGTATCACCACCTGTCTACAGAAACCTGTGGACAGGGTATCACCACCTGTCTACAGAAACCTGTGGACAGGGTATCACCACCTGTCTACAGAAACCTGTGGACAGAGTATCACAACCTGAGTACAGAAACCTGTGGACAGGGTATCACCACCTGTCTACAGAAACCTGTGGACAGGGTATCACCACCTGTCTACAGAAACCTGTGGACAGAGTATCACAACCTGAGTACAGAAACCTGTGGACAGAGTATCACAACCTGAGTACAGAAACCTGTGGACAGAGTATCACAACCTGAGTACAGAAACCTGTGGACAGAGTATCACAACCTGAGTACAGAAACCTGTGGACAGAGTATCACAACCTGAGTACAGGTACACACCTGACAGGTAAACAGACGCGATCATCAGATTACATAACAGGGTCAAGTCAATACCTGATAACAGGTTGACAAAGTGGATCACCACCTGACAAGTAAACAAGAGTTGATCACCATGTACCAAGTTTTAAATAATGGATGGTCACCTCTCGACAACAGTTGGTCACCACCTGAGAACTACAGATCACCATACGCTGACAGTTACCTGCATTGAACCTGTCCGCAGGTATCACGTGACTCCTCAACACCTGCACCTGCTCCTGGCGCCCCACACCTTTCAGGTACTCCTTGAAGCCGGTCTCCACCTGCTCCAGCTCCCACGGCTCCACGGCTGGCAGCTGCGACTGGACGTCTACACCTGTCACCTGCCAGGTGTGCACGTGCGAGAACACGTGCAGGCACGCCGTCTCCCAGAACTTCTTCATTGCCAGGCTCGTCATCAGGACAAAGTCGCTCACGCCTGCCTCGTCTAGACAGGTCTTGGCCTTGAACAGGAGGTCAAGGTTATCGTCTGACCGGATGAGCCGGCAGTCCGGTAGAGTGGAGGCGTCCAGTGTTCTGGTCAGCACGGTCAGCCCTAGCCTGCTGTTGGTCAGCTGGTTCTGGGCGACGGTCATCAGCTGGTCTCTGGTCGTCTGGCACGGGTCTGTGGCCAGGTCCAGGACTAGCTCACCGTGGTGACTCATCGGGTCAAGGTCTGTAGGTCACATTAGTACAAGGTTAAACGGTTTGGGTAGAGGGGAGGGGGCGGGGTACTGTGTGAGGGGGTAGGGACTTAGGGGGGTAGGGACTGAGGGGGTAGGGACTTAGGGGTATGGAATGTGTTTGGGGTAGGGACTCTGTTTGGGGTAGGGACTGTGTTAAAGGGTAGGGACTGTGGTGGTAGGGACTCTGTTTGGGGGTAGGGACTCTGTTTGGGGGTAGGGACTATGTTTGGGGGTAGGGACTCTGTTTGGGGGTAGGGACTGTGTTTGGTGGTAGGGACTATGTTTGGGGGTAGGGACTATGTTTGGGGGTAGGGACTCTGTTTGGGGGTAGGGACTGTGTTTGGTGGTAGGGACTATGTTTGGGGGTAGGGACTATGTTTGGGGGTAGGGACTATGTTTGGGGGTAGGGACTATGTTTGGGGGTAGGGACTATGTTTGGGGGTAGGGACTATGTTTGGGGGTAGGGACTCTGGGGGTTGGGCATGTGTTTGGGGGTAGGGACTGTGTTTGGGGGTAGGGAATGTAGTGGTAGTGACTCTGTTTGGGGGTAGGGACACTGTTTGGGGTAGGGACTGTGTTTGATGTAGGGACTGTGTTTGGAGGTAGGGATTGTGTGGGGTTGAGAATGTGTTATGACAGTTAGGGGTAGAGAAGCGTTACTTAAGTAGTAAAAGGCTTATTTTAAGAACGAGGAACAAACTGCAGAAATGTAATTGGCTATAATTAGACTATGAAGTTTGCTGTGCTAATGCCGACTGTCTAACTTAAAAGCTGATTTAGATCTTCAAACTTTTCAAATAATGGGAATGTGTTGAAAGGACTTTACACTCGACAGATCGCCCTCAACTTCCTCATAGACTTCAGATAGTGTGCCAGATAAATGGGACAGTGACGTCAGCAATCACGTGACGTAATGTTGACTAGAAGTGTCTTCTACTGGACACAGACTAGAAGTGTCTGGTGCTTGACACAGACTAGAAGTGTCTGGTGCTGGACTCAGACTGTCTGGTACTGGACACAGACTAGAAGTGTCTGGTACTGGACACAGACTGTCTGGTACTGGACACAGACTAGAAGTGTCTGGTACTGGACACAGACTGTCTGGTACTGGACACAGACTAGAAGTGTCTGGTACTGGACACAGACTAGAAGTGTCTGGTACTGGACACAGACTAGAAGTGTCTGGTACTGGACACAGGCTGTCTGGTACTGGACACAGACTAGAAGTGTCTGGTACTGGACACAGACTGTCTGGTACTGGACACAGACTAGAAGTGTCTGGTACTGGACACAGACTAGAAGTGTCTGGTACTGGACACAGACTAGAAGTGTCTGGTACTGGACACAGACTGTCTGGTACTGGACACAGACTAGAAGTGTCTGGTACTGGACACAGACTATAAGTGTCTGGTACTAGACACAGACTAGAAGTGTCTGGTACTGGACACAGACTAGAAGTGTCTGGTACTGGACACAGATTAGAAGTGTCTGGTACTGGACACAGACTAGAAGTGTCTGGTACTGGACACAGACTGTCTGGTACTGGACACAGACTAGAAGTGTCTGGTACTGGACACAGACTAGAAGTGTCTGGTACTGGACACAGACTAGAAGTGTCTGGTACTGGACACAGACTAGAAGTGTCTGGTACTGGACACAGACTGTCTGGTACTGGACACAGACTAGAAGTGTCTGGTACTGGACACAGACTAGAAGTGTCTGGTACTGGACACAGATTAGAAGTGTCTGGTACTGGACACAGACTAGAAGTGTCTGGTACTGGACACAGACTAGAAGTGTCTGGTACTGGACACAGACTGTCTGGTACTGGACAAAGACTAGAAGTGTCTGGTACTGGACACAGACTAGAAGTGTCTGGTACTGGACACAGACTAGAAGTGTCTGGTACTGGACACAGACTAGAAGTGTCTGGTACTGGACACAGACTAGAAGTGTCTGGTACTGGACACAGACTAGAAGTGTCTGGTACTGGACACAGACTGTCTGGTACTGGACACAGACTAGAAGTGTCTGGTACTGGACACAGACTAGAAGTGTCTGGTACTGGACACAGACTAGAAGTGTCTGGTACTGGACACAGACTAGAAGTGTCTGGTACTGGACACAGACTAGAAGTGTCTGGTACTGGACACAGACTAGAAGTGTCTGGTACTGGACACAGATTAGAAGTGTCTGGTACTGGACACAGACTAGAAGTGTCTGGTACTGGACACAGACTGTCTGGTACTGGACACAGACTAGAAGTGTCTGGTACTGGACACAGACTAGAAGTGTCTGGTACTGGACACAGACTAGAAGTGTCTGGTACTGGACACAGACTAGAAGTGTCTGGTACTGGACACAGACTAGAAGTGTCTGGTACTGGACACAGACTAGAAGTGTCTGGTACTGGACACAGACTAGAAGTGTCTGGTACTGGACACAGACTAGAAGTGTCTGGTACTGGACACAGACTGTCTGGTACTGGACACAGACTAGAAGTGTCTGGTACTGGACACAGACTAGAAGTGTCTGGTACTGGACACAGATTAGAAGTGTCTAATACTGGACACAGACTAGAAGTGTCTGGTACTGGACACAGACTAGAAGTGTCTGGTACTGGACACAGACTGTCTGGTACTGGACACAGACTAGACGTGTCTGGTACTGGACACAGACTAGAAGTGTCTGGTACTGGACACAGACTAGAAGTGTCTGGTACTGGACACAGACTAGAAGTGTCTGGTACTGGACACAGACTAGAAGTGTCTGGTACTGGACACAGACTGTCTGGTACTGGACACAGACTAGAAGTGTCTGGTACTGGACACAGACTAGAAGTGTCTGGTACTGGACACAGACTAGAAGTGTCTGGTACTGGACACAGACTGTCTGGTACTGGACACAGACTAGAAGTGTCTGGTACTGGACAGAGACTAGAAGTGTCTGGTACTGGACACAGACTAGAAGTGTCTGGTACTGGACACAGACTAGAAGTGTCTGGTACTGGACACAGACTAGAAGTGTCTGGTACTGGACACAGACTAGAAGTGTCTGGTACTGGACACAGACTAGAAGTGTCTGGTACTGGACACAGATTAGAAGTGTCTGGTACTGGACACAGACTAGAAGTGTCTGGTACTGGACACAGACTGTCTGGTACTGGACACAGACTAGAAGTGTCTGGTACTGGACACAGACTAGAAGTGTCTGGTACTGGACACAGACTAGAAGTGTCTGGTACTGGACACAGACTGTCTGGTACTGGACACAGACTAGAAGTGTCTGGTACTGGACACAGATTAGAAGTGTCTGGTACTGGACACAGACTGTCTGGTACTGGACACAGACTAGAAGTGTCTGGTACTGGACACAGACTGTCTGGTACTGGACACAGACAAGAAGTGTCTGGTACTGGACACAGACTAGAAGTGTCTGGTACTGGACACAGACTGTCTGGTACTGGACACAGACAAGAAGTGTCTGGTACTGGACACAGACTAGAAGTGTCTGGTACTGGACACAGACTAGAAGTGTCTGGTACTGGACACAGACTAGAAGTGTCTGGTACTGGACACAGACTAGAAGTGTCTGGTACTGGACACAGACTAGAAGTGTCTGGTACTGGACACAGACTAGAAGTGTCTGGTACTGGACACAGACTAGAAGTGTCTGGTACTGGACACAGACTAGAAGTGTCTGGTACTGGACACAGACTAGAAGTGTCTGGTACTGGACACAGACTTGAAGTGTCTGGTACTGGACACAGACTGTCTGGTACTGGACACAGACTAGAAGTGTCTGGTACTGGACACAGACTAGAAGTGTCTGGTACTGGACACAGACTAGAAGTGTCTGGTACTGGACACAGACTGTCTGGTACTGGACACAGACTAGAAGTGTCTGGTACTGGACACAGATTAGAAGTGTCTGGTACTGGACACAGACTGTCTGGTACTGGACACAGACTAGAAGTGTCTGGTACTGGACACAGACTGTCTGGTACTGGACACAGACTAGACGTGTCTGGTACTGGACACAGACTGTCTGGTACTGGACACAGACTAGAAGTGTCTGGTACTGGACACAGACTAGAAGTGTCTGGTACTGGACACAGACTAGAAGTGTCTGGTACTGGACACAGACTAGAAGTGTCTGGTACTGGACACAGACTAGAAGTGTCTGGTACTGGACACAGACTAGAAGTGTCTGGTACTGGACACAGACTGTCTGGTACTGGACACAGACTAGACGTGTCTGGTACTGGACACAGACTAGAAGTGTCTGGTACTGGACACAGACTAGAAGTGTCTGGTACTGGACACAGACTAGAAGTGTCTGGTACTGGACACAGACTAGAAGTGTCTGGTACTGGACACAGACTGTCTGGTACTGGACACAGACTAGAAGTGTCTGGTACTGGACACAGACTAGAAGTGTCTGGTACTGGACACAGACTAGAAGTGTCTGGTACTGGACACAGACTGTCTGGTACTGGACACAGACTAGAAGTGTCTGGTACTGGACAGAGACTAGAAGTGTCTGGTACTGGACACAGACTAGAAGTGTCTGGTACTGGACACAGACTAGAAGTGTCTGGTACTGGACACAGACTAGAAGTGTCTGGTACTGGACACAGACTAGAAGTGTCTGGTACTGGACACAGACTAGAGGTGTCTGGTACTGGACACAGATTAGAAGTGTCTGGTACTGGACACAGACTAGAAGTGTCTGGTACTGGACACAGACTGTCTGGTACTGGACACAGACTAGAAGTGTCTGGTACTGGACACAGACTAGAAGTGTCTGGTACTGGACACAGACTAGAAGTGTCTGGTACTGGACACAGACTGTCTGGTACTGGACACAGACTAGAAGTGTCTGGTACTGGACACAGATTAGAAGTGTCTGGTACTGGACACAGACTGTCTGGTACTGGACACAGACTAGAAGTGTCTGGTACTGGACACAGACTGTCTGGTACTGGACACAGACAAGAAGTGTCTGGTACTGGACACAGACTAGAAGTGTCTGGTACTGGACACAGACTGTCTGGTACTGGACACAGACAAGAAGTGTCTGGTACTGGACACAGACTAGAAGTGTCTGGTACTGGACACAGACTAGAAGTGTCTGGTACTGGACACAGACTAGAAGTGTCTGGTACTGGACACAGACTAGAAGTGTCTGGTACTGGACACAGACTAGAAGTGTCTGGTACTGGACACAGACTAGAAGTGTCTGGTACTGGACACAGACTAGAAGTGTCTGGTACTGGACACAGACTAGAAGTGTCTGGTACTGGACACAGACTAGAAGTGTCTGGTACTGGACACAGACTTGAAGTGTCTGGTACTGGACACAGACTGTCTGGTACTGGACACAGACTAGAAGTGTCTGGTACTGGACACAGACTAGAAGTGTCTGGTACTGGACACAGACTAGAAGTGTCTGGTACTGGACACAGACTGTCTGGTACTGGACACAGACTAGAAGTGTCTGGTACTGGACACAGATTAGAAGTGTCTGGTACTGGACACAGACTAGAAGTGTCTGGTACTGGACACAGACTAGAAGTGTCTGGTACTGGACACAGACTGTCTGGTACTGGACACAGACTAGACGTGTCTGGTACTGGACACAGATTAGAAGTGTCTGGTACTGGACACAGACTAGAAGTGTCTGGTACTGGACACAGACTGTCTGGTACTGGACACAGACTAGAAGTGTCTGGTACTGGACACAGACTAGAAGTGTCTGGTACTGGACACAGACTAGAAGTGTCTGGTACTGGACACAGACTAGAAGTGTCTGGTACTGGACACAGACTAGAAGTGTCTGGTACTGGACACAGACTAGAAGTGTCTGGTACTGGACACAGACTAGAAGTGTCTGGTACTGGACACAGACTGTCTGGTACTGGACACAGACTAGAAGTGTCTGGTACTGGACACAGACTAGAAGTGTCTGGTACTGGACACAGATTAGAAGTGTCTAATACTGGACACAGACTAGAAGTGTCTGGTACTGGACACAGACTATAAGTGTCTGGTACTAGACACAGACTAGAAGTGTCTGGTACTGGACACAGACTAGAAGTGTCTGGTACTGGACACAGACTAGAAGTGTCTGGTACTGGACACAGACTGTCTGGTACTGGACACAGACTAGAAGTGTCTGGTACTGGACACAGACTAGAAGTGTCTGGTACTGGACACAGACTAGAAGTGTCCAGTACTGGACAAAGACTAGAAGTGTCCAGTACTGGACAAAGACTAGAAGTGTCTGGTACTGGACACAGACTAGAAGTGTCTGGTACTGGACATAGACTAGAAGTGTCTGGTACTGGACACAGACTAGAAGTGTCTGGTACTGGACACAGATTAGAAGTGTCTAATACTGGACACAGACTAGAAGTGTCTGGTACTGGACACAGACTAGAAGTGTCTGGTACTGGACACAGATTAGAAGTGTCTAATACTGGACACAGACTAGAAGTGTCAGGTACTGGACACAGACTAGAAGTGTCTGGTACTGGACACAGACTAGAAGTCAAAATATATGTTTTATATAAATACAAACTAAGAAACTAACTAGTGTAATTTGTGAATATGCTACGCTATGTGAAAAAGACTTAAATTATACAAAAGTAATGTATACGATAATAAATAGCGACAAAAGTGTCAACTTAGGGAACACTTTATCTGGCAAGTTAACATTGTTTTTAATCCATCAAGTTAACACAGTTTTTAATTCACAGAATTCGATTAGGTGTAATAATCGATAAATACTGACAAGCATTAGCCAAATACTTATGCAAATCTTTTTTTTCTACTAAATGGGTAAAAATAAAGCAAGAAAAAAAAAAACAAGGTGAATGAAAACAATTGAAAACAAGTCCGTGAAAAAAGAAGAAAACAAGTCCGTGAAAAAAGTAGAAAACTAGACGATGAAAAAAGAAGAAACCTAGACGGTGAAAAAAAGAAAGAAACTAGACGGTGAAAAAAAGAAGAAAACTAGACAATGAAAACAGAAAACGCACCTACCTGTGCTGGGTGTGTTTTGGCCGGTATCAGCAACTTGTAGCTGTGACTGGTGTGTACCCTCACCCAGCTCATAGCTGATGTAGAATAAATAAACCATGGTTAAAACAACGACTGTTATCTAATCTAGGTTTGCTGAGGGCGACAGCCATAGTGTGTAGCCCGTGGCTGGTTCAATATTTCACGAGAACGGGTTTGTTGGATGTGACACATTTTGACACAGTTCACAAGACGTGCCCTACTGCGTCACACATAGGACGAAAATAAAAATTGCGGGAATCCCCCAACTACGAATCAGCGAAAAACTACGCAACCAATTGTGTACTCTAGTGCTTCATGTCATATTTTATATCTCTGTTTACATGTGTGTCATGTCGATCTGTACACGACACGTGTATTGTCAACAAAATTTGACCTAGTTTTCGTGAGTAGAATAAAAGGCCAGGTCGCAAAGATTGTCTAAGTAGGCCTAGTACTTCATAGTATTTTAGCCTATTTTAAAAGTAGTTTTATCATTATCATATGGATGGATATGATTCAATATTTAAGCAAACAAGATATCAACTGAATTATTATTTTTAAACTATAAGAATGTATTTGTTTTATAATTTTTCAAAAATTGTAATTTAAGTTCGTAATACTTTGTAGTTTTTACTTTTTCGTATATACGAAGAATAGAGAAAGTCGTGTAATCGTGCAAAATTTTTTTTAAAAACGAGATTTTTGCAAATCTCGACGTTTTACAGCTCTCTGAGTCGGAAAAAACATAGTTTTGCAATCTTATCCGTATGTCTGTGTGTGTGTGTATGTGTGTGTGTCTGTGTGTGTATGTGTGTGTGTAAACACGATAACTCGAGTACCGTTACAGCTAGGTTGATGAAATTTCATATATATGTATTCAGTGTTTCTTCCAGACTTTTTTCTCCGGGGGGGGGGGGGGGGGGGGCACTTGAAATTTTCGGGGGGGGGGGGGCGGTAAACTTTCTTCGGGGGGGGGGGGGGCGGACACTGTTAAAAGTATATATTTTCTATAGAAATTATATAAATTTCATTTCGTTCGGGGGGGGGGGGGGGGGGGCGGTAAAAAAATTTCGGGGGGGGGGGGGGGGGGGCTTTGCCTGGAAGAAACTCTGTATTATATCAAAATCCAAGGTCAACTTTTGAGCGATTTCCGATAACCGGAAGTGGAACTTTTTCTACTTTGAAATTTTTAAAAGCCTTTAACTTGAGTATTATTTCAGATAGATATACAGAATTTTAAATGTAAGTAAAATATCTAATTCTCTGCCTTTTGTCAAATTTTGAGTAATTTCCGTTGACCGGAAGTAGTAATTTACGCTATTTCCAACTTCTCCAAAACGCATGTGAATTTATAAAGTACTAATAATATTCCACACTATTATGCACATTTTCTTTGGCGTTCACTTGGTGTGCAATTCTTTTTTTCTACGAGATTTTATTCTATTTTAAAAAGTTTAAGTATTTAAAATGGATTAAAAATCATGTCTAGATCTATATCCCGAGTTGCCATCCCCTGTTGTTTAATATAAGAAAATTAGAGAAAGTTTAGGGGAGATCACTCCCAGTTTATTTAAATTTTTATTTTTACAAAAAACATAAAAATAAAAAAATAAAAAATTCCAGTTGTCAGTATAGGTGACTGTGCTTAGATAAAAGTAGGCTAAGCTCAGGTAGGTAGAGATTTACCTGGTCGGGTGAAGGTTGGACTGACAGGTACTTACAGTTGGTTTCGTGACACAGTAACCCAATAATGTCATGGGATGTTGAAAGTCCGGGTTGGATTTAAACAATCTAATACATACCCAGACCTCAAGTTAGGCAAGGCAGATATTTTTAAAGCCTGCTTGAAGCATTTTATCCTAGACTTTAAGGTCTACCTTAAATATTTTTTTTTTGACAAAACAAGAATAAAATCAAGTCGGGTATGTGGTTCCTCGTGTAAACAACAGGGTGGCGTTGATTAAAACGGGAACAGGGCATTACCCCCCCCCCCGTCATTACCCCCCCCCCCCCAGTAATTACCCCCTGTCAATTACCCCTAGCCCAGTAGGAAATTACCCCCGGTCATAGTGTAAGGTTCAGCTAGGGTTTGAGTTTGGGCTAGGTCTAGGTCTGGGGTTAGGGTTAGGGTTAGGGTAAGGATTAGGGTTAGGGCTAGAGTTGGGTTTGGTTTTGGATTTATTTTAGGGTGAGGTGAATTATTAGGTTTTTCGTCTTTTTTTAAGGTTAGGATTTAGGTAATATATAGGTATAGAATTGGAGTTAGAATGAGTGTTATATCTTGGTGTATGGAGGGGGGGGGGGGGTAATTGCACCGGGGGGTTGTCCGGGGGAAATGTCCGGGGGGGGGTGGTAATGTCCTGTAGCCGATTAAAACAACAGGGTGGTGTTGATTAAAGGGCTCCGGCGTGGAAATATCAGGTGACGAAATTCGAAGTCTTACAGTAGCTGGTACCCAAAGTCCAGGTTTACCGTACAGGGAATCATTTTTTTTTTACGTCATAAGAAGCAAGGTGACTTCCCCAAAACTTGACGCAACCCCCCCCCCCCCCCCCCCCCCCTCTCCCTTGCCCTACGTCCCATTAAACTGAACGCCCCCACCTACTTAAGATTTCACTCCAGCTAGAATCTATATCGCATGACGACTGACTCACGAAGGGCAAAAACTTTATTTTAAAACTAAAACTTTCCACACCTCTTATCTTAAGGCCTGCACAAGTCTCATGTATGTTCCTGTTGCTTTATTTGATTTGGTAGTTCAACGACTTATTAATGATACTAAACAAAGCAACTTATGGCATGTTAAACATCTATGTGGTGTATTATGGTGAGCAGTTACATCACGTGAAGTATGCCGGGAACTCAACGCATCACGTTTATCATCATACGCCGTCACAAAATTACGGACCCCCCTCCTCCCTACAAGTGTGACGTCATTTATGGACGACCCCAATATTTACTGGTATAATTGTATCAAGTATACCAACAACTGTTATATTTACTGGTATAATTGTATACCAACAACTGATATATTTACTGATATAACAGTATCAAGTATACCAACAACTGTTATATTTACTGGTATAATTGTATACCAACAACTGTTATATTTACTAATATAACAGTATCAAGTATACCAACAACTGTTATATTTACTGTTATAATTGTATCAAGTATACCAACAACTGTTCTATTTACTGATATAACTGTATCAAGTATACCATTAAGTGTACACGCTGACACCAGCAGATACGAGCAAGGAAGAGGATTAGGTTTTGCTAGAAGTGTGTTCTGTGTGTTGTGTTCTGTGTTCCGTTGATTGTTTAGTGAGTAGAAACAGAATTCAAATGACGAATGACACGACACAGTTGATCAGGAATGTGTAGCTGTTGTTTAAATTGAAGTCACGTGATGGACGTCAGCTGACACGAGAGTTGAGTAGGTTGTTTGATGTAGGATGGGTTGCATGGTGGATGTCAGGCCGGATGGTAAATGTAGAATGGTAGGTGCAGGATGGTAGCTGTAGGATGGTGGATGTAGGATGGTAGTTATGGGATGGTGGATTACGTAGCCTGCATGTTGTTGATTTACTATTGGAGGGAGAATACGTATTATGTTTAGCTTTTTGTTTTCCTATATAGATTTTACTCGACATAAAGATCATACAAAGATAAGTTTATAATCCAATTGCAAGGGCAATTAGTTGTAAATTGAGCCATACCTAACCAGACCCACAAACAGAACGAAGAACTGACCAGCAAACATGCACCCTCCCCTCCCCCTTGAGATGGTAGATGTAGACACGGCAGACGAGAACTTCCTTCCTCTCCCGACTGGCGTTTGGTAGATAAGGGGTCTTCACACAAACACCAAAAAGCACAACTTTTTTTAAACTACGAAGTTCATCTTTCGTTTTCCCGGCACCCTCACACGACACAACACTCACGATACGACACACACTACACGACACACGACACACACGACACATGCGTCATTCTTTAATCTATTTAGAAGTGTGCGCCCCCCCCCCCCAACCCACCGACTCTTTAACTTCACCGTTCTTATCAGTAATGTTAAAATAGATTTCCTCCAACACAATTCATTATTACGTGTCAAATTGTTTTGACTCCGATTTCGGTCTGCTTTTCTTTATGGATTTGCTTCCATAGCCTTTATCCAACCAAGAACAAACTACAAGGCAGCAGTTTCTTTTTAAATTGGAGTTGTCTCTCATAGCAGAGTTGCTGTCCCCAGCTATCGTGCCTAATCTGCCCGAGGGTTCGAACTCAGGACTTTTTGGATTTTCAATGTTGAGTTTTACCAACCCAACCACGCCGACCCCTACTGCTAATATATTTAAAATTCCAAAACAAACTAAAAACGGTTAACGATCTCATTATTTTTTTTTTGGCGAATATTTTAGTCCAACGGCTGGACCTAATCACACATGAAGGATGGACACACACATGTGTAGGCATAGTATATTGGGGGGGGGGGGGGGCGGCATGGTCGAATGGTAGAGTACGTCTGCTAACCCGAAAGTGTAGAGTTCGGATCTTGGGCCGAATCTGTAGGACCTCCCTGAGTCCACCCCGTACCTAACTCACGTCAAAGAAACCAAGGCGGCTGGGCATAATGCTGACCTCAAATGCTGACCACACTATCCCCATGTATGAAGAGGTCATTGAAGCAGTCCAACTGTACCTACCTCCTATATGTGTTTACAACACGAACGAGAAAATACGATGATACATATAGATGGAATTTTGTTATTTTACTGTGTGCACGCATGTTTGACTCGCCATTTGTCGAACTAAACATTTGGCTATGTAACACGGCTTCACACAGAAAAACATTCCTGTCATACATTGACACAATGGTAGACAAGCTGTTTAATGTCATACTGTGGTAGACAAGCTGTTTAATGTCATACATTGACACAGTGGTAGACAAACTGTTTAATGTCATACATTGACACAAAGGTAGACAAACTGTTTAATGTCATACATTGACACAAAGGTAGACAAACTGTTTAATGTCATACATTGACGAAGTGGTAGACAAACTGTTTAATGTCATACATTGACACAAAGGTAGACAAACTGTTTAATGTCATATTGTGGTAGACAAGCTGTTTAATGTCATACATTGACACTGTGATAGACAAACTGTTTAATGTCATACATTGACACTGTGGTAGACAAAATGTTTAATGTCATACATTGACACAGTGGTAGACAAGCTGTTTAATGTCATACATTGACACTGTGGTAGACAAACTGTTTAATGTCATACATTGACACTGTGGTAGACAAACATTGACACTGTGGTAGACAAACATTGACACTGGTAGACAAACATTGACACTGTGGTAGACAAACTGTTTAATATCATACATTGACACTGTGGTAGACAAGCTGTTTAATGTCATACATTGACACTGTGGTAGACAAACATTGACACTGTGGTAGACAAGCTGTTTAATGTCATACATTGACAGTGTGGTAGACAAACATTGACACTGTGGTAGACAAACATTGACACTGTGGTAGACAAACTGTTTAATGTCATACATTGACACTGTGGTAGACAAGCTGTTTAATGTCATACATTGACAGTGTGGTAGACAAACATTGACAGTGTGGTAGACAAACATTGACACTGTGGTAGACAAACTGTTTAATGTCATACATTGACACTGTGGTAGACAAACTGTTTAATGTCATACATTGACACAAAGGTAGACAAACTGTTTAATGTCATATTGTGGTAGACAAGCTGTTTAATGTCATACATTGACACTGTGATAGACAAACTGTTTAATGTCATACATTGACACTGTGGTAGACAAAATGTTTAATGTCATACATTGACACAGTGGTAGACAAGCTGTTTAATGTCATACATTGACACTGTGGTAGACAAACTGTTTAATGTCATACATTGACACTGTGGTAGACAAACATTGACACTGTGGTAGACAAACATTGACACTGGTAGACAAACATTGACACTGTGGTAGACAAACTGTTTAATATCATACATTGACACTGTGGTAGACAAGCTGTTTAATGTCATACATTGACAGTGTGGTAGACAAACATTGACACTGTGGTAGACAAACATTGACACTGTGGTAGACAAACTGTTTAATGTCATACATTGACACTGTGGTAGACAAGCTGTTTAATGTCATACATTGACAGTGTGGTAGACAAACATTGACAGTGTGGTAGACAAACATTGACACTGTGGTAGACAAACTGTTTAATGTCATACATTGACACTGTGGTAGACAAACTGTTTAATGTCATACATTGACACTGTGGTAGACAAAATGTTTAATGTCATACATTGACACAGTGGTAGACAAGCTGTTTAATGTCATACATTGACACTGTGGTAGACAAACTGTTTAATGTCATACATTGACACTGTGGTAGACAAACATTGACACTGTGGTAGACAAACATTGACACTGGTAGACAAACATTGACACTGTGGTAGACAAACTGTTTAATATCATACATTGACACTGTGGTAGACAAGCTGTTTAATGTCATACATTGACAGTGTGGTAGACAAACATTGACACTGTGGTAGACAAACATTGACACTGTGGTAGACAAACTGTTTAATGTCATACATTGACACTGTGGTAGACAAGCTGTTTAATGTCATACATTGACAGTGTGGTAGACAAACATTGACAGTGTGGTAGACAAACATTGACACTGTGGTAGACAAACTGTTTAATGTCATACATTGACACTGTGGTAGACAAACTGTTTAATGTCATACATTGACACTGTGGTAGACAAAATGTTTAATGTCATACATTGACACAGTGGTAGACAAGCTGTTTAATGTCATACATTGACACTGTGGTAGACAAACTGTTTAATGTCATACATTGACACTGTGGTAGACAAACATTGACACTGTGGTAGACAAACATTGACACTGGTAGACAAACATTGACACTGTGGTAGACAAACATTGACACTGTGGTAGACAAGCTTGCCCTGTAACTCAGAGAACATCCACACGGCGATGTTTAAGTTAAATGTGAAGCACCCTTAATGAGTCGCACTTACGTGCAACAAAGTGCGCTTTTAATTGCCACAGCACAGTAAGACACACGGAGCAACAATTTCATCTAATGAAGCGAATTTAAAATTCATATTTTTTTGGTGAGTAATTTATTCCTAATTGGTTAATTAATTTAGTTTTATCTGACGTATGGGCATGTAGGACAACCATGGGTGACCATCGGACAACCAGCACACAACCACCTGGGTACCTGGTGTGGCTGAGTCGGGTGGTAATGTACTGTACTCCCCCCTACCATTTGGGTATAGTGCTGACCACACTTTCCCTTCAGGTGAACTTCACTTGCCCTGCCCCATGGGCCGTTTTTTCTCAAAGCGGAACTTATTTTTTACCCCTACTCTTGATGTCACGTGATAATGGGAAAAGGGGGGGGGTAGTCCAGTCTTGAGCCACTGGAATACTCTAACAAACCCAATGTCAAGGCCAAACAAAAAATACATGTATCTAACTCCCATTACCGTCAAACTAATTCATGCACAGTCAAGTTCTAGTTTATATATATATATATATATATATATATATATATATATATATATATATATATATATATATATATATATATATAACTTTGTTTTTATAATTTACAGTTATCAAATGCCAAGTTCTTGTCCACCATGTTTGACTATGACATCATTTCCGTGTCGGCGGCCTCCATCTTGTTTGTCCTGCTGCTGGTCCGGCTGATTTATCCCCCCTTACTCCGTGACCTGTACACGGTTTGGATCCTCATCCGGCAGGCCCGCAGCGTGAAGAAAACCCTCAAGAGCCGGCAGTTCATGATCGACATCTTCGAGAGCCAGGTGGCCAGGCGGCCCAGCCAACCGTTCATCGTGTTCCGGGATGTCAAGCTGACCTATGAGCACGTGGACAAACAGGCCATACGGGTGGCCAGAGTTTTGATAGACCTTGGTGTCAGGCCTGGTGACAACGTGGCACTTGTCATGTCAAACGAGCCAGCATTTGTGTGGATCTACTTGGGTACGCCAACCCACAATGTACCGATATTAATGTCACCGATATTGGGTGCATTGACATGAAACACATTTAGAAATGGGTCACGGATTTTGTTTATGTCCTATACAGGTCCTGTAGTTTACTGTACTCTATAGACCCCATATTTATATGTCCCCGACAGTTCTCTTAACAACATACCTTATCATATCCGCCTTATTTAGTCAAGCAACACACAGGTAGACACACAACAACCACCCAGACACACGATCTATAGAAGCCATGTAAACCTCTAATCTGACTTAGTTTTAACGTGAAATAGGTAACTTGATATAATCATCTCTTCCCCCACCCACAGGCACACAGAAAATTGGAGCCTGTGTCTCACTCGTCAACAACTTGATATAATCATCTTTTCTCTACCCTCCCCCCCCCCCCCACAGGCACACAGAAAATTGGAGCCTGTGTCTCACTCGTCAACCATCATCTGAGGGCCGAGGGATTACGTAACAGTGTGTTGGAGAGTTACCCCAAGCTGGTCATTGTGGGGGAGGGTAGGTGCTTTAATGGTGTCTTTACATTGTGGGGGAGGGTAGGTGCTTTGGTGGTGTCTTTACATTGTGGGGGAGGGTAGGTGCTTTGGTGGTGTCTTTACATTGTGGGGGAGGGTAGGTGCTTTGGTGGTGTCTTTACATTGTGGGGGAGGGTAGGTGCTTTGGTGGTGTCTTTACATTGTGGGGGAGGGTAGGTGCTTTGGTGGTGTCTTTACATTGTGGGGTAGGTAGGTGCTTTGATGGTGTCTTTACATTGTGGGGGAGGGTAGGTGCTTTGGTGGTGTCTTTACATTGTGGGGGAGGGTAGGTGCTTTGGTGGTGTCTATACACAACACATACTGCAGATAGAGACACCATCAGTATAAATAGACACCACGTTTACTGACACCATGTTTACAAAGATACGACTGTTACATATAAACACGACACACTACACCAACACGACACACCAACACGACACACTAGACCAACACGACTCACGGTACACCAACACGACACAACATTACACCAACATAACACACTACACCAACACGACACACGGTACACCAATACGATACACTAGACCAACACGACACACCAACACGACACACTACACCAACACGACACACTACACCAACACGGCACACCAACACGACACACTACACCAACACGACACACTACACCAACACGACACACTACACCAACACGACACACTACACCAACACGACACACTACACCAACACGACACACTAGACCACCACGACACACTACACCAACACGACACACTACACCAACACGACACACCTACACGACACACTACACCAACACGACACACCTACACGACACACTAGACCAACACGACACACTACACCAACACGACACACTACACACTACACCAACACGACACACCAACACTACATCGAAACGACATACCAACACGACACACCAACACGACACACCAACACGACACACCAACACGACACATTACACCAACACGACACATCAACACGACACATCAACACGACACACCAACACGACACAACATTACACCAACATAACACACATTACACCAACACGACACACCAACACGACACACCAACACGACACAACATTAGACCAACATAACACACATTACACCAACACGACACACGGTACACTGAGTACGTTATGCAACAAGAAGAGCTTGTCATCTGAATCTGTAACACACATTACAAATACACCATGTAGATCCTAGAGATTAGGACAATGTACATTCTATTACGTTTTACTTCTCATACAACAGACCTTCAGATTTAATTTAGGCTGAAGTTCCTGGTTTCTGTGAACTTTTAAAGACAATCATTCCGGTAGAATATGTTGTTATTATGGACTTTAGTAGAGTTAAATTTGTGAAACAAAGATATTAAATTAATATAAAATACAATTCGTGAATTCCAAAGACATTACGCAACACAAAAACCGGTATTTTAACCCTCCTCTTCCCCCCCCCCCCCCTTCAAGCGCACGATACGATTAATATTAGAACAGTTTGAGAAGAACTAGTAACTGCTGACAGGAATGGACGTTAAGTAGATAAACAAACAGTTAATTTGATCGAACTTAAAGTAGCATCGAAGTTAAAGAAGACAAAAAATGTTAACATTGATGGCAATAGAAGATAGACTTAATGTTAACATTAACGAATAAGTTAGACAAACTGTCACCATGACCGAAGTAGACTGTCACCATGAACTAAGTGTATCTATACCGTCAGGTTTCGATGAAGACTTACCTGACCGTCTGGAGAAGCTGGACCCCCCCTTAGAGCTGGACATCTACGCCTACACACGGCCCTACCAGGACAAGTCCAGCTTCTGTCAGCTGATGGAGGGGGTATCAGACCTGCCCCTCCCCGCCTCACACAGATCACGTGTTCAATTATCCGACCCCTCGGCTTTTATTTTTACTTCCGGGACCACGGGTACGTCAATGTGGTCTGATTGTGTTTCAATGTGGTCTGATTGTGTTTCAATGTGTCCTAGTATGATTGTGTCGTCGAATTGTGTCGTTCTTGTTAGCAAGACAGACGCCACATCCTGTTGTTTAGTTATTGAACTCAGATGTCAGCACGTAAATATAAGTTTGTTGGGTGAAGTCACGTACAATCCACATTAAGTTACATTTCTTTGAGAACTTCAAATGGGGAAAACTTGAGAGTTATAAATAGACGCACAATTGGGCTACGTTACAGTTGGGTAGATCAAGTGGAAGCACGTAGTAGCGTTACAAGACGTTAACTGGTCAAGTGGTCAGCTAGTCAAGACGTCAGTTGGTCAAGACGTCAGCTAATAAGGACGTCAGTTGGTCAAGACATCAGCTAGTCAAGACGTCAGCTAGTGAAGACGTCAGCTAGTCAAGATGTCCACAGCTGCTGACAACGTCTTGAACCAACCATTTATTCCCAGACTTGTCACAACGCCCCCATTATTAACAGCAATTGTTGCCTCTCCACATAAAGGCATTAACATTTTTTTGCCCTTACCAAATCACGTAAAGTTCTACACTTACAGAAAACAATCCGACCGTTGACAAATATTTCAATGTTTAAAAGCAGTCTCAACAAAAGTTATTCAACAACAGGGGAGATAATGCGAGGAACCTTGGCTTTAATGTTTTATGTTCAACTTTTCGCGTCTAGCCGGCCTACACTAGACGGAACATCTGATAGAAGATTTAAACACGGGTTGTTTCCCTTACCAGTTGGCAATTTTTGTATGACGTCAATTATGATCCAAAATCATATCAATAATCATCACCTCCCCCCCCCCTTCACCCGCCCTCGTTACTCAGGTAATTATTTTATCCAAAAAGTAATGTGTATTGATGTCCTGGGGGCGGTTGTAATTAATTACGTGCTTGGTTTAAACGTCAATTTTAAACATCATACGCGCATCCAAATTCTTACCTTAAGGTCTGCCTAAGCCGTCTAAATTCTTACCTTAAGTTCTGCCTAAGCCGGCTAAATTCTTACCCTAAGGTCTGCCTAAGCCGGTTAATTTCTCACCCTAAGGTCTGCCTAAGCCGGCTAAATTCTTACCCTAAGGTCTGATTAAACCAGCTAAATTCTTACCCTAAGGTCTGCCTAAGCCGGTTAAATTCTTACCCTAAGGTCTGCCTAAGCCGGCTAAATTCTCACCCTATGGTCTGCCTAAGCCGGCTGAATTCTTACCTTAAGGTCTGCCTAAGCCGGCTAAATTCTCACCCTATAGTCTGCCTAAGCCGGCTGAATTCTTACCCTAAGGTCTGCCTAAGCCGGTTAAATTCTTACCCTAAGGTCTGCCGAAGCCAGTTAAATTCTCACCCTATGGTCTGCCTAAGCCGGCTGAATTCTTACCTTAAGGCCTGCCTAAGCCAGTTAAATTCTTACCCTAAGGTCTGCCTAAGCCAGTTAAATTCTTACCCTAAGGTCTGCCTAAGCCAGTTAAATTCTTACCCTAAGGTCTGCCTAAGCCAGTTAAATTCTTACCCTAAGGTCTGCCTAAGCCAGTTAAATTCTTACCTTAAGGTCTGCCTACGCCGGCTAAATTCTTACCTTAGTTTTAAATGTCTGATTTAGCCGGTTAAATTCTTACCTTAAGGTCTGCCTATGCCGGCTAAATTCTTACTTTAAGATCTGCCTAAATTCTGGCTAAATTCTCACCCTAAGGTCTGCCTAAGCCGGCTAAATTCTTACTTTAAGATCTGCCTAAATTCTGGCTCAATTCTCACCCTAAGGTCTGCCTAAGCCGGCTAAATTCTTACTTTAAGATCTGCCTAAATTCTGGCTAAATTCTCACCCTAAGGTCTGCCTAAGCCAGCCATCATTACCCACAAGAAGGCCATCCTCTGCAGCCACAGCTATGCCCCTGTTGGCTTCAGCCAGAAGGAGGTCATGTATTTAACCTTGCCCTTGTACCACGCAGCGGCCTTGAACCTTGCCCTGCTCAATGTCATCTATGTAGGTAAGTTATTATTTGTCACTAACTTTATTCCTTACCCTTACCCTTACACTATTACCATTACCATTTATGACAGACATTAGTACTGCATAATGTCATGTATGACATTCGTTCTGGGTCACACATTTCAAGTATGACATCCGTCAAGTATGACTGACTTCAAAGCAGTACTAAGTCATGTATGACATTTACATATGCTGTCACTTAGGTCATGTCACACACGTCATGTATGACTGTCATACACTGTCATACACATCACGTATGACTGTCACACACGTCATATATGACTGTCATGTATGACTGTCATACACCTCCCCAGGAGCCACCCTTGTGCTGAAAGAAAAGTTCTCCGCCTCTGAGTTTTGGTCTGACTGTTGTAAACACAACGTCACTGCCTTCCAGTACATTGGGGAGATGCTGCGTTATTTGGTCAACACACCACACGTAAGTTTTGGGGGTGTGGGGGTGTGTGGGGGTGTGGGGTGTGTGGGGGACAACGTCACAGCCTTCCAGTACATTGGGGAGATGCTGCGATACTTGGTCAACACACCACACGTAAGTTGTGGGGGTGTGTGGGGGTGTGTGGGGGGGGGGGGGTGTGGGGGACAACATCACAGCCTTCCAGTACATTGGGGAGATGCTGCGATACTTGGTCAACACACCACATGTAAGTTGTGGGGTGTGTGGGGGTGTGTGGGGGGTGTGTGGGGGGTGTGTGGGGTGTGTGGGGGTGTGTGGGGGACAACATCACAGCCTTCCAGTACATTGGGGAGATGCTGCGTTATTTGGTCAACACGCCACACGTAAGTTGTGGGGATGTGGGGTGTGTGGGGGTGTGTGGGGGTGTGGGGGTGTGTGTGGGGTACTTGGTCAACACGCTACATGTTAGCCTAATGTGCCCTATGTTAGCCTAATGTGCCCTATGTTAGCCTAATGTGCCCTATGTTAGCCTAAGGTGCCCTATGTTAGCCTAGCTAGACCTCACTGACCTACCTCACCTGACCAGAACCCACTAGAGAAACAGCACCACGTGACGAAGGCCATTGGTAACGGTCTGAGACCGGACATCTGGGGCAGGTTCCAGTGCCGCTTCCGGATCACGCACATCTACGAGTTCTACGGCTCCACGGAGCTGCCTGCTACCTGTATCAATCTCTTTAACGTCCCTGGCAGTGTGGGCAGGTTAACTCCTTTGTTGGTGAGTAGTTGATTACCTCCCTTGTTGGTGAGTAGTTGATTAATTCCCTTGTTGGTGAGTTGTTGATTAACTCCCTTGTTGGTGAGTTGTTGATTAACTCCCTTGTTGGTGAGTTGTTGATTAACTCCCTTGTTGGTGAGTTGTTGATTAACTCCCTTGTTGGTGAGTTGTTGATTAACTCCCTTGTTGGTGAGTAGCAGATTAACCCCCTTGTTGGTGAGTAGTTGATTAACTCCCTTGTTGGTGAGTAGATTAACTCCCTTGTTGGTAAGTAGATAAACTCCCTTGTTGGTGAGTAGATTAACTCCCTTGTTGGTGAGTAGATAATCTCCCTTGTTGGTGAGTAGTTGATTAACTCCCTTGTTGGTGAGTAGTTGATTAATTCCCTTGTTGGTGAGTTGTTGATTAACTCCCTTGTTGGTGAGTTGTTGATTAACTCCCTTGTTGGTGAGTTGTTGATTAACTCCCTTGTTGGTGAGTTGTTGATTAACTCCCTTGTTGGTGAGTTGTTGATTAACTCCCTTGTTGGTGAGTAGCAGATTAACCCCCTTGTTGGTGAGTAGTTGGTTAACTCCCTTGTTGGTGAGTAGATTAACTCCCTTGTTGGTAAGTAGATAAACTCCCTTGTTGGTGAGTAGATTAACTCCCTTGTTGGTGAGTAGATAATCTCCCTTGTTGGTGAGTAGATTAACTCCCTTGGAGGTGAGTTGATTACCTCCGTTGTTGGTGTAAAGTAGATTAACTCCCTTGTTGGTTTAGTTTTACTACTAGCTGTATTCTATGTGAGTAACTCCACTAACAAGACTTATCGACTTATAACCATGTTGTATTCCAGAGGTGGCTGACCAAATCGTATCTGGTCAAGCTTGACCTGGAGACCAAAACACCTTACAGGAATCAGGAGGGCAGGTGTGAGCTGGTTCAACCAGGTGGGTTGGGATGGTAGTGATGGTAATAGAGATGGTAGTGGTTGTATTAGAGATGGTAGTGATGGTAATAGAGATGGTAGTGGTGGTAATAGAGATGGTAATGATGGTAATAGAGATGGTAGTGATGGTAAGAAGAAGGTAGTAATGGTAATAAATATGGTAATGATGGTAATAGAGATGGTAGTGATAGTAATAGAGATGGTAGTGATGGTAATAGAACTGATGGTAATAAAGATGGTAATGATGGTCTAAAAAAAGTTAATAGCCAGTTGTTAAAAATTGTGGTCATTAGGTGGTGGTGGTGAGCAGTATAGGCAAGTAGTGCGTTGTAAGTGCTGTTGTTACAAAATATTGGTGGTGATGGTAATAGTAGGTAAAACATTTTCTAGTTGTGCTGTTTTGTAAAATACCAACACTATGGATCTAAAACGGATGGTGGTGGTAGTCGGTTGAAGTGGTACCGATGAGTCAGAAACTGGAAGGGCTTGGCGTGGTCCCGCCTATAAATCTCACGGTTGCTAAACCGAAAAGTCCCGAGTTCGAATCCCCAGGCAGATGAGGCTCGTTGTTAATACTTGAGAGAACAAAGGCTAAGGAAGCAAATCCAAAAAGAAAAGCTGGGTCAATGGCCTGTATGGTGCATGACATTTCCATTAGAACAAAGAAGAAAGAATAAACTGAAACCGTCGCATCCCCCCTCCTCCTTGACACAGGTGAGCCAGGTGTCCTGCTGGCCAAACTGACCGGTCTGGCCACGTTTGACGGCTACCTGGGCCCCGCCTCTGAGACCACCAGGCTGATGGTCAAGGACGTCTTTGAGGAGGGCGACTTCTACGTCAACACCAAGGACGTCTTTGTGCTGGACGTGCACTACAACCTCTACTTCAAGGACAAGATCGGCGACACCTTCAGGTCTGACGTTCTACTTTCGTTATTTCCTGTATAGATTGTACTACTAAAATAAGGTTTTCTCATACTCAGTATTTAAACCAATGAGATTGAAGCAACAGGTCACGTGTCTTGCAGGTGGAAGGGTGAGAACGTCTCGACGGCCGAGGTGTCCAACATCCTCAACACGGCGCGATTCGTGCAGGACACGAACGTCTTCGGAGTGCCGGTGCCGGGTGAGTCTGCCGGCTTCCTCGCGGCTCTAGCTGCTCTTGGTGTATGCATGCTTTGTATGTTGTGTACATGTGGTTCTTATATGGGGTAAATGTGGTTCTCATATGGGATAAATGTGGTTCTTTTATAGGGTAAATGTGGTTCAAATATGGGTAAATTTAATTCTTATATGGGGTAAATTTGGTTCTCATATGGTGTAAATGTGATTCTTATATGGTAATTGTGATTCTGATATGGGGTAAATTTGGTTCTTATATGGGATAAATGTGGTTTTTGTATGGTGTATATATGGTTCTTATATGGTAATAAACCGGGAGTGATCTCCCCTAAACTTTCTCGAATATTCTTATATAAAACAACAGGGGATGGGAACTCGGGCTATAGACATGATTTTTAATCCATTTTAAATACTTAAAGTTTTAAAAATAGAATAAAATCTCGTAGACAAAAGAATTGCACACCAAGTGAACGCCAAATAAAAAAAGTGCATAATAGTGCGCAATATTATTAGTACTTTAAAAATTTACATTCGTTTTTTGAGAAATCGGAAGTAGCGTAAATTACTACTTCCGGTCAACGGAAATTACAAAAAATTTAACAGAAGGTAGAGAATTAGATCTTGTACTTACATGTGAAATTTCATTTATCTATCTGAAATAGTACTCAAGTTATAGGTTTTTGAAAAATTCAAAGTACAAAAAGTGCCACTTCCGGTTATCGGAAATCGCTCAAAAGTTGATACGGATCTACGATTTTGATAAAATACTTATATATGAAATTTCATCAACCTAGCTGTAACGGTACTCAAGTAATCGTGTTTACACACAGACACACTGACAGACAGACACACGGACATACGGACAGAATCGCAAAGCCCAGTTTTTCAGACTGGATTACGCATAAAACCTCTTAATTTTGATAAATCTGTATTGATAATTTTTGCCCGATTAAAATAAGTCCTCTATACTTCGGATGTGATGAAGGACTGAGGTGTAATACAGTGAAAATTGTTCAAATTTCAAGTGATTTTTTTGCACGATTACAATACTTTCTCTATACTTCGTATATACGAGAAAGTAAAAAATGTGGTTCATGTGTGGTGTACGTGTGGATATGTGGGTACAATTGCCTGTGTCAAGTGAATTGTAGCTCTTGTAGATTCTTAACGACCCTGACCTTCTTCAAGTGTCAAGTTGTTTCAATGTTTTCATTGGTTGAGGCGATAGCAGGGTCTGACATTGCGCATCTGTGACGTATAACTTATGTGAAGGAAGTATCTGGGTGATGATAGGTGGAAAATGATCTTCTTCTAAATATATTGATCTACTCTAACTACGATGATCTTCTGCTAACTTTAATGGTTTTTTTGCTAGCTAACATTATCTTCTACTCATTATGATGATCTTATGTTGACGGTGATGTTTTTTTTGTTAACTGTGATGATCTTCTAACTATGATAATCTTCTGTGATTATCTTTTGCTAACTTTGATGCTCTTTTGTTGACTGTGATGATCTTTTGCTAACTATCATCTTCTACTGACTGTAATGATCTTCTACTGACTGTTATGATCTTTTGTTGACTGTGATGATCTTTTGTTGACTGTGCTGATCTTGTGTTGACTGTGATGATCTTGTGCTGACTGTGATGATCTTGTGCTGACTGTGATGATCTTGTGTGATCCCCAGGGTGTGAGGGTAAAGCCGGTATGGCCGCCATCAACCTTCGGGACGAGGAACAGCTGGACAAGGACAAGGTCCACGAGCTCAGTCAACTGTGTCGGGACAAACTGCCCGGCTACGCCAGACCCAGGTCAGACTAATCTTGACAGACCCAGGTCAGACTAATCTTGACAGACCCAGGTCAGACTAATCTTGACAGACCCAGGTCAGACTAACCTTGACAGACCCAGGACAGACCCAGGTCAGACTAATCTTGACAGACCCAGGTCAGACTAATCTTGACAGACCCAGGTCAGACTAATCTTGACAGACCCAGGTCAGACTAACCTTGACAGACCCAGGACAGACCCAGGTCAGACTAATCTTGACAGACCCAGGTCAGACTAATCTTGACAGACCCAGGTCTGACTAATCTTGACAAACCCAGGTCAGACTAATCTTGACAGACCCAGGTCAGACTAATCTTGACAAACCCAGGTCAGACTAATCTTGACAGACCCAGGTCAGACTAATCTTGACAAACCCAGGTCAGACTAATCTTGACAGACCCAGGTCAGACTAATCTTGACAGACACAGGTCAGACTAATCTTGACAGACCCAGGTCAGACTAATCTTGACAGACCCAGGTCAGACTAATCTTGACAGACCCAGGTCAGACTAATCTTGACAAACCCAAGTCAGACTAATCTTGACAGACCCAGGTCAGACTAATCTTGACAGACACAGGTCAGACTAATCTTGACAGACCCAGGTCAGACTAATCTTGACAGACACAGGTCAGACTAATCTTGACAGACCCAGGTCAGACTAATCTTGACAGACCCAGGTCAGACTAATCTTGACAAACCCAGGTCAGACTAATCTTGACAGACACAGGTCAGACTAATCTTGACAGACCCAGGTCAGACTAATCTTGTCAGACCCAGGTCAGACTAATCTTGACAGACCCAGGTCAGACTAATCTTGTCAGACCCAGGTCAGACTAATCTTGACAGACCCAGGTCAGACTAATCTTGACAGACCCAGGTCAGACTAATCTTGACAGACACAGGTCAGACTAATCTTGACAGACACAGGTCAGACTAATCTTGACAGACCCAGGTCAGACTAATCTTGACAGACCCAGGTCAGACTAATCTTGACAGACACAGGTCAGACTAATCTTGGCAGACCCAGGTCAGACTAATCTTGGCAGACCCAGGTCAGACACAGGTCAGACTAATCTTGGCAGACCCAGGTCAGACACAGGTCAGACTAATCTTGACCCACGGATCGAGACACCGATTTGTTGTCAGTTCGATTGTTACCCACATTATGTGTTGGTCTTAGTATTGATTCTTTCCCTTTGTTTATTAGCCACATCTTAGCATCATTTATCTCCCTTTGTTTAAATCTCAGCATCGCTTCTCCCCCTTTGTTTACATCTCAGCATCCCTTATTCCCCCTTTGTTTACATCTCAGCATCACTTATCCCCCTTTGTTTACCTCTCAGCATCACTTATCCCCCTTTGTCCCATGTTCTCCAGGTTTCTCAGGTTCCAGCACCAGATGAGTCTGACCTCGACCTTCAAACAGCAGAAGTCTGACCTGGTCAAGGAGGGATTCGACCCCAGGGTGGTCAAGGAGCCCCTGTACTACCTAGACAGGGTGACTGACGACTACAAGCCCATTGATGCCAAGGTTTTCCAGGAAATTTCAAAGGGCCAGATCGCCTTGTGATACGGGTCATCGCTGGGAATTCTTTAAAAACTGACCAGTAGACTCAAATATGGCGCTGTTGATTTGTGTCACGTTATTGTTACATTACTGGACTGTTTAAAAATGTGTTAAAACTATATATATATATATATATATATATATATATATATATATATATATATATATATATATATATATATATATATATATATACACACACGTGTTTTGCATACGTATTTGTCCATTTCACCCCACACTATTTACTGAACCCTGTGAAAAGCCTATCTGACTTGGATGTTTTTCTCTTACTATCTTGCCTTATGGCTTCCCTGGGACATCTAAGTGACTTAAGTCAATATCTCATAGAATCTACTTCCGTATTCACTGGATTAGCCCAGCCGTTCTACGATCTCATTTCCTTATGATTTCGATATCTGATGGCAATGGCTAATCAGCTATTCCTGTTTATTTAAATAAGCGCCACATCCAGCATTACACAATCGTCTGTGACTGGTACAAAAACTAGTTCTACCGGCTAGAGTTCTCACGCGGGAATACTCAGCTGAAAAAATATTTTTACTTCATGCTGGGAAATAACGGAAAACTTAAACCGCATGTCATCTAAATGTCACACTGTGCTTTGTAGCTCTGATGACACAATACTAATGGTTTTAATGTCACATTTTAAAAGCTCGCGCTTATCTGCCCTATCAGCTAAAGGGAAGTAATTTCTTCTGTTAATTGCTTCTTTGCTTCTATGTTTGTCTCCCCTGTTTCTAAACTTGTTTCACAACATTTAGTTTAATTAATTATTTGAAAATCTTAAATTGTTCAGTTTTTTTTTAATCCAGAGATTTTAATATTTATTGTGCTTGTGATTGATCATCCTAATGAGTAATTAAAAAATAATATCTGCACGTGATGTCAAACCATCTTGTTTTTTTTTTTTTGTGTGTGAGCACCAGGGCATGATAACAGTTTCCAGGTTAATTGCTTGCACGTGCTGTCAATTTTAGACTGACCACATTAAATGTCATTTAATTTTACCTTTTTTTTTAATCGCCATTACATTTTTACATAGTGATAAACAGTGTCGCTCCTAGACAAGTTTCACATACACACACACACACACTCTACGGCACATACACGCACACACACGTAAACACACTCACCCACCTAGAACCCACTTAGCCCCCACTTAGCGACATGCCATTAACCAATCAGGGCCCAGTCTGAACCCAATAGACCACGTGACAGATCTGTCCCCTGGGTGCGTGAGTACACACTTGTTGTGGCGGAGCTGTCATACCATTGGATAATTCGATCACGTGACTGCCTCAATTTGTTTCTTTCAAATTCACATGGATAAATAAACACGCCTCAAGGTATCGTCTGCTAAATGTGATGAAAATGTTTGACAAAAATACATTTGTGCAGTTTTATGAACGCTTTTGGTAGTTTGTAAAGTGTTAGTGTTCTGTAAGCACGGTAAGTTTATGATGCCTAGTGTAAATATCGAATCGACTAGCTTTTTTGTAATTTCTGCTGATCTGTAATGACGTAGGCCTAGGTAGCTCGCGAGTGACTGACTTTTGATGCGGGCAAATCGCAAGGTGACGGGGCGAGTTGTGACGTCACCAGCTCTAATGTGGACAAGTTGTAATAACACTGTAGCTTGCTGTTGACTGTCGTTATTTAACAGATTATCCCCCTTGGAGCTTTCAATCACACGCTGTCTAGCTCAGCGGGGCATCGCATCAAAACAAACAGGAATTACCCGACTTTGGGGCTTACTCCTTTACTTGTGAACAAAAAAAGTTTATTTGCACCGAAATATTGAACCCAGATTCGATCATTATAATTGTGTGACGTACTTCCCCAACTACCCCCCCCCCCCCTCGTCCTGTGTACAATGTTAAGACGTCTGAGATTTATAGCCCAGCAAAAAATAAACATTCCTCCCACATCATTAGTGCCGTCTTTAATCGACAGAATATTCGAAAGACCCGTTATATATTTTATAATCATGTACGATGTTAAAAGCTAAATACTGTTATTAACATCTGACTGTTTGATTTTTGTTTAGCTTTACTAAAGATTTAATGGAATTGATGTTTTTAGGTAGTTAAACAATACTAAAAAAAAAAAAGCCGAAAACTATTCAGTTGTTTAAATTTTATCACAGAAAATGAAAACAAAAATGGCTGAGCTAGGTCATTTTGAAATTTAAAATATTAATTTTATTTAAAAATTGTATCGCCAAAGTTTTGAGTACAAATTACTATGAGTTTCTTTATGAAGTGGGGTTTATTGATCACAGATTTTCTGTAGAGCCAATCAAAGTTTGTCTTTCGGGAGTAGAACTTTAGAAAAATAGCCTTAAACTCAAAGTTCTCTTGATTTGCAACACTGTTTCTAAAATATAAAATTTTTGAATTATTTGCTGGCTTAGGGGTTTTGATGTTTTAGCGGCCGCTTTAATTGCAAGATAAAAATAAAAACCACGATTTTTATCCTTGCCAACAATTATGAAAGAAGGATTCTCGTCAACTCGTTGATGCCCATTAGAATACTCCAACAGCTTTCAACCAAGAACGACAACTCCCAGTGACAAATATGGGCGACAACTCTACCAGCGTCTGTGGAGGCCTGGGGTCAAATGACTCTGGGGCGGGGTTAGCATTCGACACCCACAGAGCTGCAGACGACCTGACCGTCAGAGACGACGCCACGTGGTTGTTGTCCAGCTCCTTCATCATCTTCACCATGCAATCAGGTCAGTGACAGCAACACTTGCAGCTATACTCACAGCCATAGTAACTCAAGCAATACTCACAGCCATACTCCCTCAAGCAATACTCACAGCCATACTATCTCAAGCAATACTCACAGCCATAGTAACTCAAGCAATACTCACAGCAATACTACCTCAAGCAATACTCACAGCCATACTACATGAAGCAATATTCACAGCCATACTATCTCAAGCAATACTCACAGCCATACGCCATCAAGCAATACTCACAGCCATAGTAACTCAAGCAATACTCACAGCCATACTACGTGAAGCAATATTCACAGCCATACTATCTCAAGCAATACTCACAGCCATACGCCATCAAGCAATACTCACAGCCATAGTAACTCAAGCAATACTCACAGCCATACTACATGAAGCAATATTCACAGCCATACTATCTCAAGCAATACTCACAGCCATACGCCATCAAGCAATACTCACAGCCATAGTAACTCAAGCAATACTCACAGCCATACTACATGAAGCAATATTCACAGCCATAGTATCTCAAGCAATACTCACAGCCATACTACATGAAGCAATATTCACAGCCATACTATCTCAAGCAATACTCACAGCCATACGCCATCAAGCAATACTCACAGCCATAGTAACTCAAGCAATACTCACAGCAATACTACCTCAAGCAATACTCACAGCCATACACCCTCAAACAATACTCACAGCCATAGTAACTCAAGCAATACTTACAGCCATACTACCTCAAGCAATACTCACAGCAATACTACCTCAAGCAATACTCACAGCCATACACCCTCAAACAATACTCACAGCCCTACTAACTCAAGCAATACTCACAGCCATACTCCCTCAAGCAATACTTACAGCCATACTACCTCAAGCAATACTCACAGCCATACTACCTCAAACAATACTCACAGCCATACTCCCTCAAGCAATACTTACAGCCATACTACCTCAAGCAATACTCACAGCCATACTACCTCAAACAATACTCACAGCCATACTAACTCAAGCAATACTCACAGCCATACTCCCTCAAGCAATACTTACAGCCATACTGCCTCAAGCAATACTTACAGCCATACTACTTGAAGCAATACTTACAGCCATACTCCCTCAAGCAATACTTACAGCCATACTCCTTCTGACAGCCATATTTCTTGCTACCAATTTTCCTATAACCAATCCAAAGCTAGATAACCGCAGTTTTATCGTGTACTTATTTAATCACCTAAATAATTGTATTCACTGCAATGAGTGTTGATTTAATCCAATTTGCCAATAATAGATTGATAGTTACTCTGGCTTTGAGTGGGAGGGGGAGGCAGGAGTAGAACCCTGATCCATGTTTACAACTTTAATAGCATTGGACAATAGGACGTAGAAAACTATTGATTTAAGAACAACGCAGAATCATAGCTGAGTTGGAAATATAATTATTTGTGTATTTTGGTTATTTGTAAGATCTTAACGTCCACCTTCCCTTCCCCCCCCCCCAACTTGACCCCCAGGGTTCGGGCTGCTAGAAAGTGGGTGTGTCAGCTCCAAGAACGAGGTGAACATCATGGCGAAGAACGTGGCTGACGTCGTCTTTGGCGGCCTGTCCTATTGGATGTTGGGCTACGGCTTCAGCTTCGGCAACGGTACTGGCACCAACGGCTTCTGCGGCGTCGGGAAATTTTTCATCGACCCCGGCGTCGACTCGATGGGGGAGGACTTCTCCCGCTTCATCTTTCAAAGTTCGTTTGCGACTACAGCAACTACGATAGTTTCTGGTGAGTTTTTACTACATCCGCAATAATTTTTGGTGAGTTATTACTCCATCATCAACAGTAGTTTCTGGGCAACTAGTTTTGCTCTTGGGATAGTGTTTCAACAATAGCGACCACGTCATGCGGAAAATATAATGCCGTAGGATAGTTTAAATATTTCTCATTTTCCTTTGTTATTAATCCTGTGCTGCTACTGCAAGATTTAGTATTGGGCAGAGGCGTAGCGACATATTCCGGCACCCGGGGCGGACTATCATTTTTTTTATATATAGTTATTCCTATCAATGCAAAAGCTCCCCTCCTCTGAGTATAATTCGATACTTCAGCTTAAAAAGCTTTTAAATTAATTTTTCTACCTCTTTTGGCGCCCCTTGGACCCGGGGCGGCCGCCCCACCCACCCTCCTCTAGGTACGCCACTGGTATTGGGTTGTTTTAGCATAATCATATTGCTTCCATGACGTGTGCAACATGTCTGCTATTTCTCCCAACCGTTGTCTTGTGTTCCAGGTGCCATAGCTGAGCGCAGCAAATACCTTGCTTACGTCATCTTCTCATTCTTCAACACGTTCATCTTTTGTTTTCCCGCCCACTGGGTGTGGTCACAACACGGGTGGCTGCACCAGATGGGCGTGATTGACATGGCTGGGGACGGCCCAGTGCACATCGTGGGGGGCATGACGTCACTCGTTGCCGCCCTGATGATCAAGCCGAGGGCCAAGAGGTTTACGTCACAAGATGACCACGAGATGGGCTCAGCCAGCAGCGCCTTACTGGGGCTCTTCATTCTTTGGTAGGTTGGCATGGCAACGGTGTCATGCTATGGTTGCCATAGCAACGTTGTTTTTGATATGGTGGTCATAGCAACGTTGTCTTTATACCTCGCTCGTGGGTAGCACATGATGACTGTTTGGGTTTGTTTAGCCAACATTAGACCAAAAAGACTCAACTACTCGTATTTGTTTTCACTTGTATTATTGTTATTACTTTTATCGCCACGAACATTGCCATTATTATCTACATGTCTGTCCCCCGACAGGTGGGGCTGGCTGGCATTTAACTGTGGCAGCACCTACGGTATATCAGGTGGCAAGTGGAAGCTGGCTACCAGGTAAACTAGGACAAAGGTCATTGACCGCTACTTGTTAGGCTTGTTGGACACTGTCCGGTTATACATACATCTGCTAGGGCCAACTAGCCGGCCAAACCACGTAAGGTTCAACCAGTCGGCCAAACCACATAACCTGCTAGGGCCAACTAGCCGGCCACACCACATATGGTTCAACCAGCCGGCCAAACCACATAACCCGCTAAGTTCAAATAACATCTGCAGGTTCGCGTGTACTGATGTATGAGATAGAAGAATCTTGCACTAGACAACTCCCTCAACTTCAGAACTCACGTTAACACAAAATTTAAATTATCACATTTTTTAAAAGTCGAAAGTGGCTACATTAGAGCTAATTGAAGAAATTAAACAATCAAACACTAGCCATTTTAAATTAATCCATTTGTTAGGTAAAAAGAAATTTACATTAGAAATAATCCACTGTCATTGGCATGTCTGTTTTTGACCTGATGTTAGAGATAGTGTTCTAGACCTCATGTTAGGCATGGCGAAGTGACATGGTAAACTTGATAAAATTTCACATTATGTTGTAGATCTGATGTTGTAGACCTGATGTTAGCAACCTTGTGTGTAGACGTTATGCTATAAACCTAATGTTGTAGAGTTGATGCTGTAGACCTAATGTAAAGTTGATGTTGTATTTTTGCTGTTGACCTGATGAATAACATAACCCAACTTCTACAGAGCTGGTGCCACTACGCTAATGTCAGCATATTCAGGCGCCATCCTGGCTTTCATATGTAGGTAGGTGCCAGTGGTTCATCTGTAGGTAGGTGCTAATGATTCAGTTTCCGGGTACGTGAGATGATTTTGTTCAATTGCTACTTTTCGAATATAGACCTCTTGTTCGGGTAAAGAACTACTGTTCGAGTAAAGATCTATTTGGGTAAATATCTAATTTTTGGGTAAAGATCTACTAGTCAGATAAAGATCTACTGGTCAGGTAAAGATCTACTGGTCAGATAAATATCTACTGGTCAGGTAAAGATCTATTGGTCAGGTAAAGATCTACTGGTCAGCTAAAGATCTACTGGTCAGGTAATGATCCACTGGTCAGCTAAAGATCTACTGGTCAGCTAAAGATCTACTGGTCAGATAATGATCCACTGGTCAGCTAAAGATCTACTGGTCAGATAAAGATCTACTGGTCAGCTAAAGATCTACTTGTGATGTAAAAAAATCAACAATGTCCACAGCTACGTTGTGAACAAAAGAAAGTTTTGTATCCCCTGGATCATCAACGGTGTGTTGGCTGGTCTAGTCTCAATCACTGGTAGGTCTTCTAGACTTTTTTGACAGGAAGGTCTTCTAGACTTGACATAATCTTGACAGGAAGGTCTTCTAGACTTGACATAATCTTGACAGGAAGGTCTTCTAGACTTTTTTGACAGGAAGGTCTTCTAGACTTGACATAATCTGGACAGGAAGGTCCTCTAGACTTGACTCTCAAATCGTAACAGGTAGGTCTTCGAAGCTTGACAGTCAAATCTTGATAGGTAGGTCTTCTAGACTTAACAGTAAAATTTGACGGGTGGGTCTTCTAGACTTGACACTCAAATTACGATCCTAGTTACGAGACTGGAATCTGTTCGTGTAGACTTGACGTGGTGTGTGTTGTCTAAGTCTGTAGTCTGTAGGGTTGGTATCACATTGGATTTTGTTATTTGGTATTATTCTTTGTTCAGTCAACTTGACTTCACATTTGATTCAGTCAACTTGACTTCCCCTTTGATTCAGTCAACTTGACTTCCCCTTTGATCCAGTCAACTTGACTTCCCGTTTGATTCAGTCAACTTGACTTCCCCTTTGATTCAGTCAACTTGACTCACCCCTTGATTCAGTCAACTTGACTTCCCCTTTGATCCAGTCAACTTGACTTCCCGTTTGATTCAGTCAACTTGACTTCCCTGACTGTTGCAGCCACCTGTGCCGTGACGGGGATCTGGGAGGCGCTGGTCATTGGTGGGGCGGGGAGCTGCCTGGTGCTCCTGGGTGACGCCCTCCTGGTCAGGCTGCACGTCGATGACCCAGTCAGCGCCATAGCCGTCCATTTTGTGGGCGGTGTCTGGGGTCTGATAGCAGCCGGGATATTTGCTCACGAGGACACTGTGACCTACAAGTATTTTGGGAACTACGGCCTGGTCAAGGTATGATATGTGGTAGGACGTACGTATTGGTTAATAATGTGATGTGTTGACTGAATTAATCTCCATGCATGTATATATATATATATATATATATATATATATATATATATATATATATATATATATATATATATATATATATATATATATATATATATGTGCATGCATGTGGACCACTTAGTAATAACTAATATCTTATCACTCCCCTGATGCCACTCCCCTGATGCCACTCCCCTGATGCCACTCCCCTGATGCCACTCCCCTGATGCCACTCCCCTGATGCCACTCCCCTGATGCCACTCCCCTGATGCCATTCACCTGATGCCACTCACCTGATGCCACTCCCCTGATGCCACTCCCCTGATGACACAGGGTGGAGGCTTCTACCTGCTAGGTGTACAGTGCCTGTCTGTTGTGTCCATCACGGCATGGACGGCTGTGACCTCTGGAATTCTACTCAAGGTCATTGACCTGACCGTGGGGCTCAGATTGTCGCCTGCTGGTGAAGACGTTGGTGCGGATCTTACAGACCACAATATCAGGTCAGTGTCATAGGTTCTGTCAGCTGGTCATAGGTTGTGTCAGCTGGTCAGTGTCATAGGTTCTGTCAGCTGGTCATAGGTTGTGTCAGCTGGTCAGTGTCATAGGTTCTGTCAGCTGGCCATAGGTTGTGTCAGCTGGTCAGTGTCATAGGTTCTGTCAGCTGGTCATAGGTTGTGTCAGCTGGTCAGTGTCATAGGTTCTGTCAGCTGGTCAGTGTCATAGGTTCTGTCAGTTGGTCATAGGTTGTGTCAGCTGGTCAGTGTCATAGGTTCTGTCAGCTGGTCATAGGTTGTGTCAGCTGGTCAGTGTCATAGGTTCTGTCAGCTGGTCATAGGTTGTGTCAGCTGGTCAGTGTCATAGGTTCTGTCAGCTGGTCAGTGTCATAGGTTCTGTCAGCTGGTCAGTGTCATAGGTTCTGTCAGCTGGTCAGTGTCATAGGTTCTGTCAACTGGTCATAGGTTCTGTCAGCTGGTCAGTGTCATAGGTTCTGTCAGCTGGTCATAGGTTCTGTCAGCTGGTCAGTGTCATAGGTTCTGTCAGCTGGTCAGTGTCATAGGTTCTGTCAGCTGGTCAGTGTCATAGGTTCTGTCAGCTGGTCAGTGTCATAGGTTCTGTCAGCTGGTCAGTGTCATAGTATCTGTCAGCTGGTCAGTGTCATAGGTTCTGTCAGCTGGTCAGTGTCATAGGTTCTGTCAACTGGTCATAGGTTCTGTCAGCTGGTCAGTGTCATAGGTTCTGTCAGCTGGTCATAGGTTCTGTCAGCTGGTCAGTGTCATAGGTTCTGTCAGCTGGTCAGTGTCATAGGTTCTGTCAGCTGGTCAGTGTCATAGGTTCTGTCAGCTGGTCATAGGTTCTGTCAGCTGGTCAGTGTCATAGGTTCTGTCAGCTGGTCAGTGTCATAGGTTCTGTCAGCTGTTCAGTGTCATAGGTTCTGTCAGCAGGTCATAGGTTCTGTCAGCCGGTCATAGGTTCTGTCAGCTGGTCATAGGTTCTGTCAGCTGGTCAGTGTCATAGGTTCTGTCAGCTGGTCAGTGTCATAGGTTCTGTCAGCTGGTCAGTGTCATAGGTTCTGTCAGCTGGTCAGTGTCATAGGTTCTGTCAGATGGTCATAGGTTCTGTCAGCTGGTCATAGGTTCTGTCAGCTGGTCATAGGTTCTGTCAGCTGGTCAGTGTCATAGGTTCTGTCAACTGGTCAGTGTCATAGGTTCTGTCAGCTGGACAGTGTCATAGGTTCTGTCAGCTGGTCAGTGTCATAGGTTCTGTCAGCTGGTCATAGGTTCTGTCAGCTGGTCAGTGTCATAGGTTCTGTCAGCTGGTCAGTGTCATAGGTTCTGTCAGCTGGTCATAGGTTCTGTCAGCTGGTCAGTGTCATAGGTTCTGTCAGCTGGTCATAGGTTCTGTCAGCTGGTCATAGGTTCTGTCAGCTGGTCATAGGTTCTGTCAGCTGGTCAGTGTCATAGGTTCTGTCAGCTGGTCAGTGTCATAGGTTCTGTCAGCTGGTCATAGGTTCTGTCAGCTGGTTAGTGTCATAGGTTCTGTCAGCTGGTCAGTGTCATAGGTTCTGTCAGCTGGTCATAGGTTCTGTCAGCTGGTCAAAGTCATAGGTTCTGTCAGATGGTCAGTCTTTTACTGAACAGTTTCGGGTGGATAAACTTGAACCAACCTTTATGATAGATATTACATCAGAGCAGACATTTTAAGATGTCCTTATCATATGGTTTTGTGTGTGTTTGGGGGGGGGGGGGGGCTAATTTTCTGGAACCGTCTTAACGTACGGCACAGCATAAGCGCTTACAACTGATAGCACTTAGCACAATTTGGGTACAGTGGAGGGTTGGCGACCAGTGTACAAACAACCTATTAAAGCACTAGCTAGCTGCCCTCGTATCTTTTAATGCCCTCCTAATCTGCCCACATGCTCGTGTACTAACAACAATTCTGTTTTCTGTTTGACCAGGTCGTTTAACTCTGCCCATAGAATCCAACATTTGTCTGCCCTCAATGTGCTGTTGGAGAAAATTGAGCAAGGTCAAGGCCTAGAGGACAACATGTTTGGACCATCGCGAACTAATTCCGACTTTATCAAGGTCAATAGGTGCAAGATGAACACAACTGATCTACATGAAACAAGTCAGACAATCATCTTGGATCAGTTGTCCACAACAGAACTGCATAAAAACCAATGCGAGTTTCAGTTCACGGGCGATGACGTCATCTCCTCGATTGAAACTCGACCGTTAGAAAAGTCGAAGCGATGCACGGGTGTAAGGACACCAAAGCCACGGAACAATTCTAGTGTTTCTAGCCTGACGTCTAAACTCACACCCAGAGTGCATTTTAGACAGGAAGTAACGTTTAATGACCTCCCCCTGTCCCCTGACGTCATGTATTAGGTCACAACTTGCTGTGTTGGAGAACATTTTAGTCATCTCCCTTGGCTCTCATGCGCAATTCCCTCCCCTATATATATATATATATATATATATATATATATATATATATATATATATATATATATATATATATATATATATATATATATATATATATATATATATATATATATATATATATATATATATATATATATATATATATATATATATATATATCACAAGGGAAGCAACATTAATCGGAAAACTAAAACAGACATTAGCCATGGATTAACTTACACAATACTGTAATCAATGTTTTTCCCGTTGCAACATCTTTCTTTAAAAATGAAAAACAAATAGCGCCCTACTTACTAGAATTGTGACTAAAACTATTTATTAATTTGTCATGTTCATTAAAACAGATTTTGAAATCATAAAATCATATAAAGTTTATATATTGACGCCTTATGATAAATATTTTCCTTTAGTTTTTTAATTCAATTTTCGTTTCTCTGTTTAAATCTCGATACATGATCACTACTTAACAGTGGGTTCCTGGACTGAAGGGTGACATGCTAGGAACTATAGCTGGGGGGGGGGGGGTTGCAGCCCGGGATGGACTAAACGTTTATGTTTACATTTTAGTTGTGTTTATATTATGCGTTATTGTTTGCATTTAGGTTTACATTTTTTTTTGCGTTTGTGATTGCGTTTTCATTTGTGTTTTTTGTGTTTGCATTGTTTTTTGCGTTTTCTTTTGTGTTTGTGTTTGCGTTTGTGTTTGCCTTTGCGCTGTGTTTGTGTTTTCTTTTGTGTTTGTGTTTGCGTTGTTTGCGTTTTTGTTTGTGTTTTTTGTGTTTACGCTTACGTTATGTTTGTGTTTGCTTTGAGTTTGCGTTTGTGTTTTCTTTTGTGTTTGTGTTTAGTTTTGCTCTGTTCCATATTTGGTACATTTAAAAGGATTTACAGAGACTGAGCTAGGGTATGCAGCTAGTATGTGTGTGTTTATTTATAGTTAGTGAGAAAGTGAGAGAACTTAGTGGAAAGTGTTGCTAAATTAACACTTCTATATACATAATATAACAGAAGTAAACTCAATTGTGGGGTTACATCCCCTGATCATAAAGGGAGACAAAATAAACAAAGCCATGAATAAAAATAAAGATTTATTGTTCATACAATGCAATCGTTGTCATATATGTACATAATCTAGCGGTGTCTGAGTTTACTATACAACTAATCTTCTAACCCACGTGGGCTGAAGATGACCAGTGGTCAGCCCGCATCAGCAAGGTCATGACCCCGGTGCTATGTGTTCTAAAGCTATGTACATGTCTTGTGAAATGACCAGTGGTCAGCCCGGCTAGGCCGATGTGTTCTACAATTATGTACATGTGTAGCCTAAAGCAACGAGTAATGCGCCAATACTTTTCCATCGTTGCCATAGCAACAATTCGGTTTAGCGCATTACCGGGTGTATTTACATTGAGCTAGCTATTTCACATTATGTTACAAACTGTGATATAGTTACGTTTATATTACACAAATTGATATATTATATATTTACAGCAGCAATGTACATTATGTATAGTCAGATTACAACGTCCATTCAGACATTCAATACCGAAGGGGGTTATTTGTTGGGGGTTAGTTTACAGGGGTCATTGTCATGGGTCATTTGTCATGTGATTTAGTCGTCATGGGTTCCGTCATCAAGTGAACAGTCGACGTAGCTTTCTCTACATTATAAATTACAACTGGTGGTAGTGGGGACGTTGACCTTTAGGGTCAGATGATCAACACAGATTATAATTTTTTTTCTCGGTGTGACCGTGTGACGTCAATGATGAGTAAAACGGTGTTGACCATGACGATGAATGACGTCACCGGCGATGACGTCAGAGGTGATGATGGAGGAGAATCCACGACCGGAAAGAGCAGCTAAGCGTGAACAAACAGTCACGTGACTCCCGGGTGTTGGTCCTACGTCATGACACGACCTGGTCCGGCATGGCGTGTCACGTGGTGTTGGTGGAAAGACGGGTCACGTGGTCTATATTTGGTACGTCCGGTCACTGTGGAGAACAGACAGACAAACGTTAAACATGGTCAATGACGTCACTTAATACACCAGTTAATCTGGATTAAACGTCTTTAGCCGTCCAGCTACAGGGTGCCATGTGCAACAGCTGGTCAAAACGTGAGCTGTTTATAGATTAAGGTCTCGTGATACGCACTTTTCTCGGTACTACGTTGATTAATTTATCAGTGAAATCCTGACTAGCACAATGATTAGTGTATATACACGTCACTAGTGTTATCGTGTGTTGTAAAGACAGGTGGGTAGACAGGTGGGTAGTGTTTTTTGTTTATTGTTGTTTTATTGTGTTGTAGGCTTTAGGAGGTTTGTTACTGTCGACTGTAGGCCAGTGGGGTATCGTATCAAGCTATGTCTGGTGGGATGGTTAGCTCGGTAAGATTAGGTTTAGGATTTGGGTCTTGGCAATGGATAAAGTTAGGGTAAGATTTAGGGTAAAGGTTCTAGAAAATAGCCTCGAATACTACCGACCGATGTTGTTAAATACAGTGTAGTTAGAACTCGATTAGATAATTTATCAAGTCTGCGTTCTCAAGAGATGGTGTGAGCTGTATGTCTTTCATAAGGTTGCTGTATGTCGACGTCGGATGTATGTATGTTCTAAAGTTGCTGTATGTATGTATGTCTTAAAGTTGTGTCAGTAGTATATCTGACCTGAAGTTGTATGTATGTCTGTCCTAAACGTGCATGAAGTATGTCGGTCCTAAAGTTGCTGTATGTATGTATGTCTTAAAGGTGTGTCAGCAGTATATCTGACCTTAAGTTGTATGTATGTCTGTCCTAAACTTGCATGATGTATGTCTGTCCTAAACTTGCATGAAGTATGTCTGTCCTAAAGTTGCAGTATGTATGCTGTATGTATGTCTGTCCTAAAGCTGCTGTATGTATGTCTACATGTATGCTGTATGTATGTAAGCCAACTCACCATCCCCACCACTTGTAGCCGCAGGGCGGGCAGATGTTCTGAGGGTAGTCGCACTCTCCCGTGGCCGGGTTGAAGAAGAAGCCGCCATCGCTGGCCGTACAGCGCCGTAGACTGATGAACTCGCCATGGTAGCACTCGTAGAAGTAGCTGCAGCCTCGGCCCAGCGCTGGGTACCGGCCGTCTGGACGGCCAATACAAGTGGCTGAGACACCGCAGGGGGGTGGGGCGTTCTCCGGGATGTCACATCGACCTAGTGGTAAAAAAAAACAAGTGAGTTTTGTTGACATTTGAAGAAATACTAGATGATACAAAGTATAGATTGAAGCTGAGAGTCAAACTAAATGGGGTCAGTGCAGGTAGTTTTGTCAGGTGTGTTTACCTGTTAAAGCACTGAAGACCGTTCCCCTACTACAGGTGCCATTAGTCAGCATGACACCCCTCTGGCACTCGATAAAGTTCTGGCACCCTGTCGCCTGGTCAGGATACACCCCCGAGGGTAGCGTCTCGCAGGGGCTGGGCTGGAAGAAAGACGAGACTTGGGTTAGATCTGATTAAATAGAGGGGCGGGGCTAGGGTCATAGGATACTTTTGGGATTGTTGTTTGTTGGGTTGATAGACTGTCATGTATGGCTGCCAAAATATGCTACATGGCTTCAGGTATATGGCTGTAACAATAGGGTTTATGTCTGCAGGAATATCTTGTATGGCTTCAAGAATATAGTATATTGCTCCGGGAATTTGGTTTATGACTGTAAGAATATGGTGTGTAGCTGCAGAGAATTGTCTATGTCTGCTAAATTATGATGTATTGCTGCATGAATATATTGCATCATGCAACTTGTATGGCTGTATGGCTGCAGTTGTATGGCTGTATGGCTGCAGGTAGCACAAACTAAAAATAATTCCTACCTGAAGTCCACAGGGTCTGACGGTAAGTTCCATAGAGATGACACATTTCTGGGTCAGTGGGTCAAACACGCCCAGGTCGCACGTGCTGTACTGCTGGAAGGCGCCTTTCTTACACTCAAAGTAGTGAGTGCACCGGCCGTAGGGGTCAGCATAGAGTCCGTCCTGCTTGCCCCCACACAGTGGGGCTTGACCCTCACCACACGGGCGGGAGGCAAAACTAGGGGAGACAAATCAACAAAGTTAGATGATGTCAGAGTAGTTTAAGTTGGTTGCACTATAAGTATATCATTAGTAGCATTCCTAATGAATTTTTTAAATTTTTTTATCCTCAAGCAAAAAATATAATAACAGCTACAAAACAACATTGGATTAGTCTTTATGAAAAACCACAGGTCTATAAGACCACAAGTGCGATGACCACGTGAGCTAGGACCACATCAGCAATGACCTCGTTAGATACGATCACGTGAGCTATGACGTCATCGACCTACCTGTAGGGCTGGCATGAAGGTATCGCTGGATCAAAGACGCTGCCCGGGGGACACTCGTCGTAGCCCCGGAAGTTGCCCAGCGCACACCGGAAGAAGATGGCGCACCTCCCCTGCTCGTCTGGGTAGTAGCCGTCTGCTCTGGTGCTGCAGTCTGGTAGGAACCCGCCATGTTGTTTGGGGACCTGGCAGTTGTGGATAAGTTGTGGATGAGTTGTGGATGAGTTGTGGATGAGTTGTGGATGAGTGGTGGATGTGTTGTGGAATAGTTGTAAATAGCTTGTGAGTGAATTGTATATTGGATGTTGATGAGTTATGACTAAGTTGTAAATTAGCTGTGGATGAGTTATGACTGAGTTGTGCATGCATTGAGCAACTCACCTCGAACAAAGAGACACAGTCCAAGGCCTCAGGTGAGAAGATGGGGGTAGGGGGTATGCACTCGTCCAGGGCGATGTTACGCTGCAGATAGCAGGAGACGAAGAGGGGCGTCCACTTGTCCTGGTGGACGGGGTACACGCCGTTCTCGCGACCCCGGCACCTGCCGAATCTTCGCTCACAGGGGACACACCGCCCTCCCCTGCACTGTTGGCGGGCTGAGTACTCACCTAGTGAACACAACACGTGAAGTTAATTTGTGGGGGTGGGGGTGGAATCAGTGGCGTAGCGAGGTCGGGTGTCACCCGGTGCGGCACTTAATGGTGTCACCACCCCCAGAGGCATAGAGACCCTTCCCAGGGACAAACTTTCAAATTTTCGATTTGCACCCCCCCCCTCAAACTTTCGATTTGCACCCCCCCCCCCCCCTCAAGTTTTCGATTTGCACCCCCCCTCAAACTTTCGATTTGCACCCCCCCCTCGAGTTTTTCTCTATATATTTTGCTACTTTTTGCCTTGGTGTCACCCCCCTAAATGGTGTCACCCGGTGCGGTCCGCACCCCCCGCCACCCCCTCGCTACGCCCCTGGGTGGAATAAAATCGCACAGAGCATCTCATTTCAATATATTTTGTTGATCATTGCAGCAAGTGTACATTGAAATAAATAGAGTGCTTTAAACATCTATATAAAGCAAGTTTACGATTAGACAATGACCCCCCCCCCCTCCCTTTTTTAAAATGACCGTTCAAATGCAGGCTACATATTACACCGACCGGTCAGTTTCCGGCAACTTACATTGGTCGACCGGCTCAAATCTTGACTTGCAGTTGACGTTGACAAACTCCCGGCACTTGTTGGTGACGTCATCGAAGAGCTGGGGGAAGCGACACTCCCAGACGAAGACGCCCTCGCTCCGGACACGGAAAGGCTGGAGGAGGTAGAAGCCCTCCCCCGTGTCGTCAGTCGTGTCCTCCCCCTCCTCCTGCCCCACGGTCGTCTGCTCGTCCTCCAGGTTGGCCAGGCTGCAGTTGATGTACCAGTGGCAGTTCTCGGGGTGGGGGAACAGGGCGCCGGGGTTCCGTAGGCACGGGTGATCTGGTGGAGTAGAGTAGTTGAGTTAATTAGTGTTGGTCAGTGGTGGTCAGTGCTGGTTAGTGCTGGTGGTGGTTGTCAGTGTTGGTCTGTGGTTGTCAGTGTAAAGATATTTATTTGTGTAGTCAATACAACTCAAAGCTGTCAGAGTTGGTTGGCTGGTTATCTGTATTGAAATGACTTTATCTAGTGAATGGGATATCGTCTAGCTTGAGTAGAGCTCAGACGTAAAACCTCATTAGCCAATTCTCATTATTTGGACAATCCTAGCTCATGACTTTATATGGCAACAACAGACATTGCTACAACAGCTGAACTATAAGACAACAGACATTGCTACAACAGCTGAACTATAAGACAACAGACATTGCTACAACAGTTGAACTATAAGACAACAGACATGGCTGAACTTACTTCTATCGATGTCCAAGTGGCGAAGCTTGGCCTCCAGTGTACTGGGTACCATGCTGCTGTTTTCTTGTTGCTGGCGTCTGTTGTGTTGTCGGGTGTCTGCCGGGTAAAATGATGACCTTGTCGGCGCCCTTATCGGCGCCCTGGTCGACCTGACTGTCGGGGCAGGGGTGGAGGTGGGGGTTGTGGTTTGTGGGGGCGCTGAGGTGTACCTAAGTTGTTTTTCACGTCGGTCTGGTTTGTCCTCGTTCCTGCGCCTCTGGGTGGGTGAGCCGGCACGGTAATTGTTCTTGGTGCCAGTCTCCTTGCTCTCAGACACTTCCAGCCTCTGAACAAGCGGGATGCTGTTCTGCTTGAGTGAGATCACACGGATTGGAACCTGTGTCGTCGTGGTGTTGACCCTCGTGTCTTCCTGCTTGACCACTCGCTGTTTGCTGCTCTTCGGTCTACTGGTGCTGACCACTACGTCCTTGCCAGGCAGCAGAAGGTTATTGACCCGGTACGTGGGTAGCTCCACGCCCTCCAGCTGTGTCTTAACTTTAATGGTGGGGTCAACTTGTTGGGTGGGGACTGGGGGGTGGGAGCAGTCGTCCCAGCGTGAGTGGACGGGCACACAGTTCAAGGCCAGGTTACTCCAGACCTGACCCACGGGGCAGGAGGGCATGGACATGGGCTGGCCAAAGTGGCAGATGTAGTACTGGTCGCAGTAGGTGGCGTCCCTGACCCATCGAATGGCCTGGAAGTCGACACACGGGTACACCGCCATCCTGTCTGCGTACGTTAGAGAAGGCAGTAGAACCACAGCCAACCAAAGAAATAACTTGCCTTTTACAAATGTCCGTAAGATGCTCAAGAACTTTTCCAATGCGCAAAGACATTCGTTTGAATTCATTTCTAGATATATTATGCAATCTAATGTTAGTGAAATAAAACAGGAATAAACGTGAGGAAAATCCAACGAGAAAATAAAGTCCAGATTGAAATCCAATGTAGTTTGGTCACAGACTGCAAGATGCCTTTCTCCGGGCAAGTCCAGTGGACAACTACTGCTCCACTACAACTGCTGGCCTTTTTACCTGGCTGAGGCGGTCACGTGATCGAATTTTGGCCAGGTATTTGTCCCTCATGTGCCAGGCTGGCTCAGCTGTCCGCTCTCAGCGATTGGCCCCCATCAAATCGGATTTTAAACACACAGATCCGCCGTCCTATATGTCCGGTCAACACAGGCTCGCGATGTCAACACTAGCAAGCCAAGTGGCCTCACATTCCCGCAAACTTTTTTATTACAACTCGCGGGAAATCGTTTGGCGGCAAATATCGAGGCGACCTCGTCTAGCAGGCGATCATTCATCCAAGCCGGCAGTTTTGTGCACACATCATCCATACCTGGCCAGACACTCACCGGCATGCTTTTTTGATGTGGAGTATCAAAGCGACTTAATGTCAATAGTATAATATCTGACCTTGGTAGTCAGCTCAAGGTCATAAAAACGTTCAAATTGCATGACGTCACCAGGTACTTGGAACTAGAATTGATGTTCGCAGGACTCAAGGTTTCCGTGAGAAATCTGACTTCTTAGTTTTCACAGTTGGTACATCTAGTCATAGCTGATATAATCAAACGTGACCTATTCACGCCGCATAACTTTGTCTTACCCAGCTTAAATAAATCATCCTTAATTTTTGTTACATTATTAGACAGGGCCAACCTGGATATCGCCCCCCCCCCACTTGCCCGTGGGTATAATTGTATTAGAATAATTGTACTCTCCGAGGGTGGGACCAAGCAAAATGTTTTTACTCAGGTGACCACTGTGGGATAGAAAGATAAGCGAAGGATAAATCGGGGATAGGTTAGGGATAATATCAGAAAGATAAATCTGGGGTAGGTTAGGGATAATATCAGAAAGATAATTCTGGGGTAGGTTAGGGATAATATCAGAAAGATAAATCCGGGATAGGTTAGGGATAATATCAGAAAGATAAATCCGGGATAGGTTAGGGATAATATCAGAAAGATAAATCCGGGATAGGTTAGGGATAATATCAGAAATATAAATCTGGGATAGGTTAGAAATAATATCAGAAAGATAAATTTAGGATAGGTTAGGGATAATATCAGAGAGATAAATCTGGGATAGGTTAGGGATAGTATCAGAAAGGTAAATCTGGGATAGATTAGGGATAGTATCAGAAAGATAAATCTGGGGTAGGTTAGGGATAATATCAGACGGATGACCCCAGGTGAGTCGGGTAGGTCAGAGTGTGTGGACACGTGACGTCATCCCGCGACCAACAGGTAGACCTGAGACTGAGACAAGTCCCACCAAGTGCGTTCAACTGTTTGCCCCACAATTTCAAGGTCAGCTTGTTGATCACCAACTAATTGCCGTATTAATACAGACTTGCATGGAGCCACTGGGGGGGGGGGGGGGGGTGTACGACCTGGCCATGTGTCCACTGCACCTGCTGACCGCCAGTGTGGATTAGATGTGCACCTGCTGACCGCCAGTGTGGATTAGATGCGATCATTACAGGGGAATGGACCCTATGACACAAGACCGTGCACTATGCTGTTTGACTGTTTTTTAATCGTGTGTATAAACCCCCCCCCCCCCACGCGGGTTAGAGCGTCAAATCCCCGTGCATGTTAGTTGGTCCAATACAAACGTCCAGCTCACACCGCAGGGGGAGGGGGGGGAGGGGGTGATATTGGTAGAATCAGCTTGCCTGCTGGTGCCTACAACTTTTTGTGTATTGACGCTCATTCTTCTGACGTCATTGAAATGCGTCACAGACTATGTTGTTACTTGCACAATGCTACAAGAAAATATTGAAAGAACCGACAGCTTGCGGCCGATAATTTCTAGAACTATCAAATCTTTGCATTCCTATACAGTTTCATTAAACTTAAAAGTCGAAACATTTCTCCTTGACTACTGAACTTGAATCCCTTCACAAAACGCCATGCTCTCTAGAGAAGTTCGCTCAACAAACCACGACTTCACGTATACTTAAAAATGAGAAGGTTTCATTCAGGCCGAGGTCCTTCCGAATTCGATTGAATTCGATAAAATGAATACAAAGAACTTAAGGTGTAGGAAACAAAGAAAGAATAGATTTGTGTTGTACGTGTAGAAAATGGTGATGATGAGGTGATGGTGAGGTGATGATGGGGTGATGATGGGGTGATGATGGGGTGATGAGGTGATGATGAGGTGATGATGAGGTGATGATGAGGTGATGATGAGGTGATGATGAGGTGATGATGAGGTGATGATGAGGTGATGATGAGGTGATGATGATGTGATGATGATGTGATGATGAGGTGATAAGGTGATGGTGAGGTGATGATGAGGTGATGATGAGGTGATGATGAGTTGATGATGAGGTGATGATGATGTGATGATGATGTGATGATGAGGTGATAAGGTGATGGTGAGGTGATGATGAGGTGGTGATGAGGTGCTGATGAGGTGATGATGAGGTGATGATGAGGTGATGATGAGGTGATGATGAGGTGATGATGAGGTGATGATGAGGTGATGATGATGTGATGATGATGTGATGATGAGGTGATAAGGTGATGGTGAGGTGATGATGAGGTGGTGATGAGGTGATGATGAGGTGATGTTGAGGTGATGATGAGGTGATGATGAGGTGCTGATGAGGTGATGATGAGGTGATGATGAGGTGATGATGATGTGATGATGAGGTGATGATGAGGTGATGATGAGGTGATGATGATGTGATGATGATGTGATGATGAGGTGATAAGGTGATGGTGAGGTGATGATGAGGTGATGATGAGGTGATGATGAGGTGATGATGATGTGATGATGATGTGATGATGAGGTGATGATGAGGTGATGATGAGGTGATGATGAGGTGATGATGAGGTGATGATGAGGTGATGATGAGGTGATGATGAGGTGATGATGGGGTGATGATGGGGTGATGATGGGGTGATGATGGGGTGATGATGAGGTGATAGTGAGGTGATGGTGTGGTGATGATGAGGTGTTGATGAGGGAGATGAGTTGATATGTGGATGCGGATGGCATGCACGCACACGCACACACATATACACACACACACTCACACATACAATGTGACGTACACTCCATGTGCGATTGTTTCTTTAGATATTTTTTTTTTACTTTCTCGTATATACGAAGTATAGAGAAAGTCTTGTAATCGTGCAAAAAAAATCACCTCACTGATACGGAAAAACATAATTTTGCAATCTTGTCCGCATGTCTGTGTGTCTGTGTGTATGTGTGTCTGTGTGTGTGTGTGTGTGTGTGTGTGTGTGTAAACACGATAACTTGAGTACCATTACAGCTAGGTTGACGAAATTTCATTTATAAGTATTTTATCAAAATCGTAGATCCGTATCAACTTTTGAGCGATTTCCGATAATCGGAAGTGGTACTTATTCTACTTTGAATTTTTCAAAAGCCTATAACTTAAGTACTATTTGAGATTGATAAATGAAATTTCACATGTAAGTAAAAGATCTAATTCTCTACCTTCTGTCAAATTTTGAGTAATTTCCGTTGACCGGAAGTACTAATTTACGCTATTTTCGATTTCTCAAAAAACGCATGTGAATTTATAAAGTACTAATAATATTCCGCACTATTATACACATCTTTATTTTGCGTTCGCTTGGTGCGCAATTCTTTTTTTATGAGATTCTATTCTATTTTAAAAGGTATAAGTATTTAAAATGGATTAAAAATCATAACTATCTCCCGAGTTCCCATTCCCTGTTGTTTTATATAAGAATATTCGAGAAAGTTTAGGGGAGATCACTCCCGGTTTATTTATGTATGTCATCTACTAAATCACTTTGGGCTCAAGGCCCGCGTTGCTGCGTTCTATCCTTCTCTTGGTTTGTGTTAGTAACGCTTGTCTACTTCTGTCTATGAGCAATGTTGTCCGTCTTATAGCTGTCATTTAGCTGCCATATGGCAGTCAATTAGCTGTCATATGATGTGGCAGCTTCTGCCAGTGTCATCTTTGTATGGTGTGTTTAAGTTTCTGATACTAGGTTTAGTTCTGATAAAGTATATCTATTTTTACTTTGCTCTTAGGCGGCTTCATAACATTATATATATATATATATATATATATATATATATATATATATATATATATATATATATATATATATATATATATATATATATATATATATATATATATATATATATATATATATATATATATATATATATATATATATATATATATATATATATATATATATATATATATATATAATATATATATATATATATATATATATATATATATATATATATATATATATATATATATATATATATATATATATATATATATATATATATATTACACCAATTATATAATATATATAATTACTCCAATGCTCAGTAAATTATGTGTCTCGATTCAAACATAACAAGGGTTGGTAAATAAAAAACGTCATGCTGTTTAAGGATGATCGAGGTTAGTGTACACGTGTGTGACGTTGGGGGTGGGGGTGGTTAGTAAAATGTGAGTGTAAACTATTTTTAGCAGATATTCTTTTTTTAAGTGCTCTAAAATTGATCAACGCTGGTCTATATTCCTGTACCTTATGAAAATTTTAGACAAAATATTCTTTAAGCTAAAAAAACATGCTATTCGGTGTGTGTATTGGGGGGAGGGGGGGGGGTTAGCGAAGAGGAAGCACGGTACGCCCAAGCGTGAAGTCATTTTAGTGAAGGGGATGTTCTAATAATTTTTTTCTGACGATGAGAGAAGACGATGGGAATCAGCAAAAAGCGTAACATTTTTTGGACGACCCCCCCCCCCCCATTGTATATAATACGTAGGGCAGTTATTTTTCGGGATATTTTAATATTGTATTTGAATGTCTTCGTGAAATTGTGCTCTTTTAACTCTCCATGTGCTCATGACTCGATCTAGTACAATTTGTGGAACATGGAACATACCTAGGGAATACATAGATATGTATGTGGTGACCTGCTGGTGGAGTAT